CTGCACACTCATATTCATAGCAGCATTATTCACAAAAGCCAAAAGGTAAAAACAACCCAAATTTCCATCAATAGATGAATGGATAAATAAAATGTGGAATATGCGTGCAATTAATATTTTCAGCCTTAAAGGAGAAGGAAATCTTATCATAAATTGGTGAGCCTTGAGGACATCGTGCTAAGTGAAATAAGGCCGTTGCCAAAAGACAAATACATTACGATTCCACTCAGAGTGGGTATATCTAAAGTAGTCAGATTCAGAGACAGAAAGAAAGTAGAAGGGTGGGAAGGGGCAAGGGGAATAGTTTCATGGGTATTCAGTTCAAATTTGCAAGATGAAATGATTCTGATGATCTGTTTCACAACAATGTAAATATACTTAATGCTACTGAACTACTCCACCTAAAAACAAGATGGTAAATTTTACTTTTTTTTTTTTTACCACAACATATATACATATACAGTATACATGATTTTCAAAATAAAAAGTGAGTAAGTATCAAGAGTGATTTTACAGTGGAGACACCATTTCAATCCAATATTCAAACTTATCACCAGTAATGGGACACATTGAAATCTCGCACCACCTGATAGCATCTGATGAGAAGAACACAGAGCCACTTCATGATTCCTGCCAAAGATGTATAACCTAAATCTAATCATGAGAGAACCATCAAACCAACCCAAATCAAAAGACATTCTATAAAGTAACTGGTCTACATAATCTTCAAAAGCGTCTCAATAATCCATTTTCTTCTTGATTCTGATTTTTTTCTCTTGGGGGTGTGTAGGCTTTAGAAGTTGAAGGATAGGTCGGGCAAGACAATAGTGTGTGAAGCACACACACCAGACCCCGCCAATTTTACAAATGATAGCAGTGAAGCTCCAGAAAGGGAAGGAGCCTGGCTGAAGGTCACACAGCACATGTCTGGATACACCACTTTTCCACAGCTATGTCCACAGAGCTAGAGCTCACAGCCTCCAGCAGCCATGAAAATCTCTTGTTCTAGCTTTGGAGCTGCTTCCCAGCCACCTAGAAACTGCTCATCCTCATTGTCAGCTCTGAACCAGTGGTTACAAATTCTGCAACTCAGCACCCCTGTGGTTAAGCCCCTTAAATCCCCAAATAGAAAGGCCTCGTGGCAAAACGGCCTCTGATGGTATCATGGGAATTGTCAAGTGACCATCTCACCCCTGAGACTTTCTGTAACTGGAAGGTACGATTTTTCCATGAGTTGTATAAAAGGAATGGAGGATTTAAAGAATGTTTTTGCTTCCAACCCCAAGATGTGATCTTAAACACTTCTTATAAAAACTCTGGCAATATCTCCCTGTGTTTGTTTTTCAAATGGTTTTTTTTTTTTTCCATTTTCCCCCAAACAGTGGAAGCTGTTAGTGCTAGGGCTATATTTTTGGCTCAAGTGGCCAGGGTGTGCCTCTCCAAGTATGACTATGCTTATTTACATATGGAAAATCATTCCGAAGGGCGATTATATTCTCTTAAACATAGTTCCAGGGTTGTGTGTACTGAATGGTGAAAACAGGTGGCTCATTTGGGATAGATGAGTAACGGCGGTGTGGCAACACACACACGGTGATTCCGACTGCCTGGAAGGGCACCGGGTGCAGAGAGACACATGCATTTCCTGGAACTACCACCTGGTAGCTGAGTGAGCTGTGACAAGGCTTTGGCCCCTCTAGGCCTCAGGCTCCTCATCTGTCAAATGAGGATAATGCCAGGAAACGCTTTCAGGACAAGTGAGAGCCTCTCTAGAGTGCCTCACACAGTTCCTGGCACACAGTGGGTGCTCCATACCTGAGCCCGGGCCTTTCTTCCTGGCGGCAGGTCACTGGGGATTTCCTGAACCTTGGATCTGGGCCCAGGTGGGCAGTAAGGAACCTTTGTGGCACTGAGAGCAGATTGTTGCTAACACTGTGTCAAGGAGTGTCATGTTTGCTCCTCTTGCACGAGCTTCTCTCCCAAATCATAATTTGTCCTCCCCTGCCTGATTCTGATCCCTGTTCCATGTTGCAGAGCATATATGAGGGAGCCTTGAGAACCACTGCTCATTCTGAAGCTCATGGCCTGGAAGCTGGGTGGCTCTCATACACTTAGAAGCAACCACAAGCCTCCCCATTGCACCCACACATTCTTCCAAACAGCACCCTCACCCGCAGGACATGTTAATGCTTTTGTGACCTGCTCTGCTCTCTCCCTCCAACCTGCCCCTGCATGTTGACATTAACCATTCCAGAAGAGTGTAGGGTTTGGGCAAGATGTCAACCAGGATTCCCCACCCCACCCCACCCCACATCACTCAGGATGGCCTTTTGCACTGATTATGAAGACTTAGACTTCCAAAGATTCGGTTTCCTATTTCACTTTAAGAGAAAGAGAGTCTCTGGATGGCTAAATTGATCTCAGTCAAAAAGGTCCTAATAACATCTAACATGTATTGAGCAGTTACTGTGTACCAAGGACTTTACAAGTGTAACCCAAATCGAACTGGGGGCCCAGTCTCTGCTTGGTTACTGAATTCAAAGAAACAGCAGTACTGCATAAAACCATAAGTAGGTGGTATGCAAATGTTTACTTGGTTTCTTCAAGAAAATACCAAAGGACAAACATATTCACAATGCACAGAAAAGCTCTTTGAAAACCTCTTTAGACATTTCTCATTCTCAGACTCTTCTGTCTGGTAAATGATGGCTTCCGAAAAAGCTCTACTTTTGCTCTGCTCCCCTCAAGACTACGTGAAGCCCAGCCCCCGTGGTCTCCCTCCAGCACCCTCACTCCAGGGCTCCCCTTCTAGTCCATTTTCTCACCCACCACTCCCCTGGAAAACACGTTCTACCTCCTATTCTGAAAGTTTTTCCTCTCAGTTCCCAGGAAGTGGGGCCCCGATCTGGGTAAACTAAATCCTACATCTTGCTATACATGCACCACCTCTTTTTTCTTTTTCTTTGTTTTCTTTTTTCTTTTCTTTTTTTTTTTAACCATTTTTCTAGTTCATGTACCACCTCTTTCAATCCTCAACAGTCATTAAGTGGCAGAGCTGGGATCCTAACCCAAGTTCATCAGACTCTAGTCAGATGCTTAGCCAGATGGCTGTCACAGAATAATAAGCTTCTCACTCCTTCTCTGGTCATGTCATGTCTGCTCAAAAACCTTCAAGGGCTCCCCAGTACCTAGAGTAGGGGTCAGAAAACTATGGCCCACAGGCCGTTTGTTTTTATAAATAAAGTTTTATTGGAACACTAAAGAAACTGTATGGCTTGAAAATCTAAAACAGTTATTATTTAGCCCTTTACAGAGCTTGCTGACTCTTGGACTAGAGAATAAGAGACAACAGAGAATGCCTTTTAACTCCTTTGGACCTGCTTCAAATAAATTTCAAATGAATGAATAAGATGTCCATACCATCATTTTGGAGCCATAGCCCTAAATGCAAAGAGACCCCTAAATATAGTCAGACACCCCAACTTACCTGGTCCCAGAACAGTGCCACCTCATCCTTGTAGGTCACAGACATCCTTTTCGGAACTGCTGCACACATCCCAGTCTCCTTTACCATCTGAAGCTATCAGGGAAGTCAGAGATGATGAGTCTACTGCTTCTCTACTCTTTTACATTCACACCTTCTTCCGATAGAAAAATTCCATATCCCTTCCTCTTTGCTGTGCAACATGAGAAGTTTTCTTTTAAATACAGCAAACAAAATTATAATGTTTATATAATGAGTATATACTATACTCACCTCTGTTGAAAATCACTGATCTTGTCTAACTTGCTCACTTTGCCACTAGGGAGACAGATGCAGGTAAAGGACTCAAGGTGCTCAAAGGGGTCCAGTGACATAGAAATAGAGTCAGGCTCTGTTCTCAGGTGTTCTTCCTAACCTGCTCCTTGCCAGGTGGGTAGTTGAGTGTGTGGGGTGGAGAGGAATGGGTGGAGGAGGGTTCCTATCTCTCCCAGTGGCCCCAGGCTAGGCTCATGTGCTGCTGTGGCCTCTACCAGGCCCCCAGTGCTCTCAAAGCTAAACTATGGAGCTTCCCAAGGGAGAGAGGTGATTTGGCCCATGGCTACCAACAAAGAGAGCTGGCCCAGGTCACTAACAGGCAGCTGCAGGTTTGGGACCCCCCAAAGGGGCCAAGGAGCCCTCTATAAGTCCAACCTATCACTTTCTTATCTCTGCCTCTTCTCTCTCAGGCTTCAGGCTCCCCTTCCTTGACACCCAGGATACCTGCTCTTGATACACTGCCCATCTGTCTCTCCTGCTCTTTATACCCCCCACCTCCACCCCATCCCCAGTCACACCTCCTCCAGTTTCTGGCAACGCCCTGTCAGAGGGGCTTGATGAGCACTGGCAAACCAGCAGCCTGTAGGCCCAACACAGCCCACATATGTGTTTTGTTTGCCTAACACAGTATTTCAAAAACAATTTGAATTAGTTGCTCACATTTAAAAACCAGTAGTAATCATCTAAAGTATTGGGTTTCTTGGGTTTTTCTCTTAAAAAATCTAAGGACTGGCAGTCCCAGGATGCATTGTTTCCTGACATGGCATGTCCCGGGCTTGCATTATTTCCTGGCATGGCATCAAATGAGGAGAGGGAGCAGCTGTTCCATCTGGATAGGGAATGTGCACACCAATCCCCACCATTGCCTGTTGCCTGCCCAGTCCTTCTGCTGCACTCCGTTAGGTGACCTGTGTGGCCTCTGGAAGGCATTTTAGCTTGCAGCCCTAGACGTGCTCACTTTGATCTGAGCCCCTCTGTGCCTCCTGTCCATCTCACCTAATAAGACCCTCCCACCCTGAGACCATCCTCATTGCTTACCCCAACCACACCCAGCCTCCTGACCATCCACTCAGCCCCAAAAATGTCAAGGGAGACAGTACCTGAGCTGCTGCCCCCACACATCTCTCTGGACCCATAGCCGCCAGGAACCCCCAACTCTAAACCCCACAAGTCCCATTGTGGCCATTCAGGAAACATGGTGGCTAACCCAACATCTTTTATTGGGTCTAGATAAGGACTCCTGCATTCTTATACTGAGGGAGGAGTTCTTGGACTTTGTACCGGGGGGCTGTGATGGCTTGGACAATCCTCAATGGGGGGAGGTATTTCTGGGGTGCCATAAAAATGGGATAACAAGGCTTAGTCTCCTTGTCAAGGCTACACAAATCCAGCATCAAACCCTTGGGGTTGTAGATCCTTTTCTTTTTGGGCCGGATTGGGATGAATGGTGGATGCTGGCGAGGCTTCACCAGTAGCCGCATGAGGTCTTTCCGAAAGATATTCCAGCTGTTCTCCTGGAGGAACTTCTGGCACAGATCTTCATCACTGAAGTTAAGACACAGATGCTGAAATTCCCACACCTGCTCCTCCTGACCCCCTGACCCTTCAGCCTTGCCTCCTGTCACTCTTCCAATTCCTAAATGCAGTGTGCTCCATCCCACCTATGTGCCTCTTCCAGACTCTTCTCTCTGCCTCCTCTACGTTTCCACACTTTCTTCCCCTAGACCTGCACTGTTCTGTGTGGTGGCCATAAGCCACATGTGGCTACTAAGTATGTGATATGTGGCCAATGTGAATGAAGGATATGCTGTGAGTATAAACTACACACCAGATTTCAAAGTCTTAGAACAAAAACAAATGTAGAGAATCTGACTAATAATGTCTATGTTGATTACATGTTGAAATGGTAATATTGAGATACACTGAATTCAATAAAATATATCTTAAAAGTTAATTACAACCCATTTCTTTTTACTTCCTATAATGTGGCTATTAAAAATTTAAATTATATAGGTAATCATTATCCATCAAAGAAATGTAAATCAAAGCCATAATGAGATACCACTTATGCCCACTAGGATGGCTATAATTAAAAATATATATACACATAGGGGTGCCTGGGTGGCTCAGTCAGTTAAGCATCTGACTCTAGATTTTGGCTCTGATCATGATCTCACAGTTCACGAGATGGAGCCCCACGTTGGTCTCTGCACTGACAGTGCAGAGCCTGCTTGGGATTCTCTCTCTCAGCCCCTCTCCTGCTCATACATTCATGTGTACACATGCACACTACTCTATTTCTCACAAAATAAATAAATGAAGTTAAAAATAGATTAAAATGTATAATAAGGTGGAGATATCAAAACAAGGTTCTGGTACATTGCTGATGGGAAAGTAAACTGATGTAGTCACTTTGGATAAGAGTATGGCAGTTCCTCAAAAGGTTAAACAGAGTTAACTTATCCAGAAATTTCACTCCTTGCATATTCCCAAGAAAAATGAAAATCTATGTCCATGCAAAACCTTGCAGAAGAATGTTCATAGCAGCATTGTTCATCATGGCCGAAAAGTAGAAACAACCCAAACATCCATCCCCTGAGGAGTGGCTAAAGTGTGATATGTACATGCTATGGACTATTATTTGACAATAAAAAGGAATGATAATAAACAATACAGGCTACAACATGAATGAAACCTGAGGACGTTGTGCTAAGAAGCTAGTAGCAAAAGGCCACACATTGAATGATCTCATTTACACGAAATGCCCTGAACAGGCAAACCTACAGAGACGGAAAGTAGGTTGGTAGCTGCCTTGGACTGGTCTTGGTACCTGGCTCTACTCCATCCCCTTCCCTCATAGCACAGAAGAGGAGGAGAGTGGGGAAGGGAGAGGGGGCTCAGCACTCGTTGGTTTATTTCCTTCTGAGACCACAGCAAGGCAAGGGCACATTCCATTTCCATTGACTTGGTTACACTCTCATCTAAGGAAGCAAGCCTAATAAGTCACTAACAAATTAGAACATTCTTCCAGCTACATTATATTGACCAGAAGAGAGTAAACTTTGATCCACAGACACCAACTTAATAAAAAACCCAGAGGTCAGAATGGGCTACTGGCTAGGTCTGTTTGTCTCAGTGGTGTGCCAAAGTCAGCCCCTCCCAGCTCAGAGAGCTGATTACATGCCTTTCTCCTCAAGCCCATGTTCAGTGACACAGGGCTGGGAGCCCGAAATTGGCCGTGGTGGGAGTATACACACCATAGAAATCTGTAAACACTTCAAATCAGGCTTACCTTCCACCCCCCTACCCCCCAGGGAGTCAGTTGTTAAACATTCACCAGCATACCACTGGATAGTCTCCACTTAAAAAGTTCCACTAACTCCCATTCATAGCAGCACTCTCAACAATAGCTAAAACATGTAAAGAGCCTAAGTGTCCATCAACGGACAAATGGATCAAGAAGATGTGGTTTATCTATACCATGGAATACTACACGGCAATGAGAAACAATGAAATCTGGCCATGTGTAGCAACATGGATGGACCTTGAGGGTGTTATGCTTAGTGAAATAAGTCAGGCAGAGAAGGACAAATATCATACGTTTGCACGTATAGGAGGATTAGGAGGAACTTAACTGAGGACCAAGGGGGAGAAGAAGGGGGGAAATGGTGGGGGAGAGGGAGAGAGGCAAACCATGAGAGACTCTTGAATACTGAGAAACAAACTGAGGACTGATGGATGTGGGGGGGAGGGGGGAGATGGGCATGGAGGAGGGCACTTCTGGGGATGAGCACTGGGTGTTATATGGAAACCAACTTGACAAACTATTTGTTTTTTTTGTTTTTTTTTTTTAATTTTTTTTAATGTTTTATTTATTTCTAGGAGAGAGAGAGAGACAGCGTGAGCAGGGGAGGGTCAGAGAGAGAAGGAGTCACAGACTGAAACAGGCTCCAGGCTCCGAGCTGGCAGTCAGCACAGGGCCCGACGCGGGGCTCGAACCCACGAACCGCGAGATCATGACCTAAGCGAAAGTCGGACGCTCAACCGACTAAGCCACCCAGGCGCCCCTTGACAAACTATTTGTAAAACAAAACGAAAATAAAAATAAAATTACAAGAAAAAAAAAGTTTCACTAACTCCCAATTTCTTCAATAATAAAAACAATATCCAACTCTGACTTAGCACCTACCACAGGCCAAGCACTTTATTTGTTAACTCATGTAATCCTCACAACCACCACATTTCACAAACACAGAAACTGGGGCTCAAAGATGCTATAGGACTCACCAAAACTTATGAAGGGCAAGTATGTGATTATAGATTCTTGAGGGGTCTCTTTTGGGGGAGTACTCAAAGTCCAAGTTAAGACAGACAAGATTCCTTGATGCTGATGGTCATGTTGATTTCCAGCTTATTTTTTCACAAAACAGGTTGGCTCTTCTAAAGGCCTCAGCTTTGTGGAGGGGATTTAGGTTCATATGTTCCTGCAGGTGTAAAATTCCAACCACTGATGCCCTTAACCCCCAGACCAGCCCACTCCCACTGGGCAATCCCACACTAGATCACACTTTGTGCTTTGGCTTTTTGGCTCTACTTCCTTTTGGCCCTTGGAGATTTCTCTTCTGTCTTGGGAGACTCAGCTATATATTTGTTACATTCTCCACAGCCCTCCCTGTGCCTTGTAGGGGGAGACACGTCAGGTTATCTAGCCTGTGGCATTCACAGGACAGGTGTCGTGCGGCCACTTCAGGATGTCGCGTTCCCTTCCTGGGGCTTCACAGTCCTCAATTACAACATGGAGGATTTGAGCTAGATAATGGATATGTTTTCTGCCTGCTTTAGCAGTCTAGAAACCAGGAATTCAGATAGTGAATGAATACATCAGAATTCCGTCTGTCAGCATTGCAGATCACTGCAGCGAAGTGCTGACTGGACAGCACAGATGCCGAGCGCTCAAACATCTGCCACCCTCAAGTCTATGGAAACCTTTTCTGAATTTCAATTCTACCGGCAATAACTGATACCCATCCTATGCCAGGTATCACTCGAGGATCTAATTCTCCTAAAATCCTTTTTTGAGTAGGTGGCTCTATTGGTTGTACACAGGAATTGGAGAATTGTGGCATCTTTGAACTGCAAGGAACGACCAGTGCTTCCCAATGTGTTTTTCCCACAAAACTGCCCCAATTTGGGCTATATCTACATATCACCTGTTCTTTAATTTACTAATAACTTTTCTTAAATTTCACCTGTTCTTTAATTTACTAATAACTTTTCTTAAATTTCCCAAGTTTCTTTTACTTAAATATTTACTTTGGCTTTATTCTCAGCAACAAGATCTGTCAAATCATGGGTTTAGTTAACTAGTCATGTTGTTTTTCTAATTCACACTAGAATAATACATAGCTGTGAAAGCTAAAAATGTCAACCTGTATACCACCTAAAATCATCTTGTAAATCTTCTGTGCATATGTTCCATGCTTGGGAAGAGACACAGGTCTGGTCTCATTTTCTTGTTTTGCAGAATGGAGTCTGAATCCAAGGAGAGGGGAAATGATTTATCCAAAGTTATACAAATCCCACATCGATTCTTCCACATACTTATTGGACATGGCTGTAGTAACTCTACAGATCTGCTTCCCTTCACACCTCCTTTTTCCTTACTACTAGAACCACCTGCTTCCACACCTGTCAGCAAAACCATGTCTGATCACAATATCACCGCAAGAAAAGAAAAAAGGGGGAGGATGAGAAATTGCATAATTGGTATGATCTCCATTTTGAAACTTTGTGCCCCTGAATAATAAATGCATATTTGGCACATATCCATTTGGCATATATCCATGTAGCAAAAAAAAAAAAAAATACATAGGGTAAAAGGAAATACACAAAATGCAAACTTAGGGTTGTTGGAGAAATGCAAATGGTTCTGGTTTTCACTTTTTAAAATGTTCAGCATTTTCCAGTTTTTTTGCAATGAGAATGCTTCATTCATTCATTCATTCATTCATTCATTTATTCAACATTTATTGTGTATCTACCGTGTGCTGGGTACTACACACATAGGTGTCAGACATCAAAGGCAGGGAAAGCCCAGTCCATGCCTTCATGAATCAATTAATCAAGTGATGGGGAAAGAACTGTGCAAACTACCCAGCACTAAACAGTTACAGTTCAATACAATGGTCAATGGCAGAGCTCTGGAGAGAGTGTCATGAAGGGATATTTATGCCAACCTGGGGTTAGTCAGGGAAGGCTTCCTGGAGGAGATGAATCTTAAAGAATCAGGAAAAAAAAAAAGAGAGAGGCAAGACTAGGGGATGGCATTTCAGGCAGAAGGAGCAGCACTGGCAAAGTCAAGTATATACAGGGTGTAGGAGACAATCTGCCTGAGCTGACAGAGCAGATTACAGGTGGCCAGAAGTGCTGCAGGGGAGGTGAGAGGTCATACCATGAAGGGTCACATACCTGGCACTGAGTCTGCATTTTATCCATAAGCAGTGAAGTGCCACTGAAAGGTTTTAAGGAGTTTAACATGGCCAGATTTGGGTTTTAGCAAGAGCACAGTATGCAGAAAAGATCTAGTGGGAAGGAGATGGAGGGAGGAGGCCCAGTGGTAAGACCAGGAGTCTAGGCTGAGGGCCCCAAAGCGGGGTTGCAGAGCATGTCACCCAAAGAGGTGAAAAAGATCCACTGGGGTGTGCGAAAAAAATAGTAGGACCTCATTCATATTTATCTTTATCTTATTCTTCTTAAATATCTATTTTGATATGTCAATAATGTATATATTAGTATAGCAATATACATATATAATAATAATAATAATAAATTATTAACATATGTTATTCACATTTACATATATATTCTAGGGGGTATATACTCAAACACTTTTTAGTAATAACAGTGTGAGATCAAAATAGCTTTGTAGCCACTGTCTCCGTTAATTTTTACATAGGAAATAAAGATCTTTTTCACAATATAGATATATTCACTCTGGAAAATTTGGAAAGTAAAAAAAAATTTTATCAAATCTTTCAAGATAGATATTAATTTTTTAATTATAAAAGTAATATATCATCATTACCAAACATTTGGAGAATAAAAAAAACTAATTTGGAATGCCACTATCCTGACAACAACTTTTAAAAAGTATTTCTTGGGTCACCTGGGTGGCTCAGTTGGTTAGGCGGCCAACTTCGGCTCAGGTCATGATCTCGCAGTCCATGGGTTCGAGCCCCGCGTTGGACTCTGTGCTGACAGCTCAGATCCTGGAGCCTGTTTCAGATTCTGTGTCTCCCTCTCTCTCTGACCCTCCCCTGCTCACGCTGTCTCCCTCTCAGAAATAAATAAAACATTAAAACAAAAAAATTTTTTAAGTATTTCTTTTCTTCCTTCATTATAAAAGCAATGCATATGCATTGCAAAAACAATTAAAGATTAGAAGAATATATAACGATAACTAGGAAGTACCTTTTAGTCTCACCTTCCAGACAGAATGACTCTTATAAATTTGGCAATATTACAGAGGTTACCATTTTTTCTGATTTCCTTCTAGATTTTTCTCTTCTGTTTTACAAAGACATAGCCATAGTATATATACAAGTTTGCACCCTGTCCTTTTCATGTATCATTATATCACCTATTTTACCTTCCTGCTGCAGAACCATTAAACTTACAATTAAAATAAATTTTTAATGTTTATTTTTGAGAGAACACAAGTAGGGAAGGGGCAGAGAGAGGGGGACAGAAGATCTAAAGAGGGCTCTGTGCTGACAACGGTGAGCCTGATGTAGGGCTCGGACCCACGAACCACATGATCATGACCTGAGCTGAAGTTAGATGCTCAACTGACTGAGCCACCTAGGCACCCTAAACTTACATTTTTTAAAAAAATTTTAAACATTTATTTATTTTTGAGAGACAGAGCATAAGCAGGAAAGGGGCAGAGAGAGGGAGACATAGAATCTGAAGCAAGCTCTAGGCTTCCAGCTGTCAGCACAGAGCCTGACACAAGGTCTAATCCACAAACCATGAGATCATGACCTGAGCCAAAGTCGGATGCTTAACCAATTGAGCCACCCAGGTGCCCCTAAACTTAACAGTTTTTTCAATAAAACGGTTATGCACTATCAAAGAAACGCACCACAATTTTCTATACTATCCCCATAGTATGACACATGTGGGTGGTAGTAGTGGTTTTTCTGTTATGAATATGGCTGCTATGAGCATCTTAGCACATGTAGCTTTTTGTATAATTTAATTATATAAAGATAAATTCACAAGTAACCTTTACTTCAAAGGGTATGGCCCTGGAAACATAATGTAAAATTATTATCAAAAGGATTGAGACAATTTAGGGGGTCCCAACAACTACCAGATTCATTCCCCCCTTTTCAGCACTAGGTACTAGCACTTTTTTCTTACTTTTACTAAAATAATAGGTGAAAACTTTTTTATTCGATCTGGTGGGATGTATGCACATTTCCAGCACTCACCTGGGGTACTTGATCTGGAAGCTGTACAACTTCTCTTTTACCTCGCTGTCAACCAGTTCCCAAAATTTTTCTTTCCTCATCCGTATTACCTCGGCTCCCAAGCTCACAAGGACCAGGGGCCGCATGTCACACTGGTTCTTCGGAAGGAGGATCTGGTGAAGGCCCTGGAGAACAGAAGTCCCAGAAAGTTCAACCTCAGAAACCATTTACTTCTGCCAGCAGATTTCCTAGATGGGAAAAACAAGGCCCCAAACAGAAGATGAATCCATCTGGGGACCCCTCTGCAAGTGATGGGGGAACATCCAGGGTTCCTTTTGCTACATGACATCAAAGTCCTCTGGCTGCTCAGGTTAGAAGAGTCTGTAGGTGCTCTGTCCATGTCCTACCTCCATGCAGGCTTCCAAGAATCACACTCAGGCAGTCCCTCTTCAGGGCATAGCGTTTTACAAGGTTTCCCCAATGTCCAATCTCAACTCTTGTGTCAAGTGAAGGCATTTTCTCTTCTTCGGGACAATGACAGAATTCGAACAGTGAGTCTTCCCCTTCTAAATCTTTCCTTTTGCAGCCTTCCCCCATCTTTTCTGCAGGCCTCCCTGTGTACCAACTCATCTAAACTCTCACAATCACCCCATGAGGCGGGTCCTATTATTATCCTCATTTTACAGAGGATGATGTGAGGTTAAGAAATATGTCCAACATCCCACAGCAGGGAGACAATAAAGCTAGGATAAGAACTCTAGGAGTCTGTCTTCAGGGTCCATGCTTCTAACCACCATACTATGAGGAAACTGAGGCACAAAGAGGCTAAGTAACTTGCCCAAGGACAGAAAGAGGTGGGGGGAGGATTTGAACCCAGTGATCTGATCTGTTTAGGAACCTACTGAGGGCAGTGCTGTTGACAGGTACCCTCATCTACCTGCAACCCATCATGCCACACACACCAGCCAGTCAGGTCCCTTTTCTGCCTGGCCTATCTCACCCTTGCCCTGCTCTCCAGCCTGGCCTCCTGCCGCCCTGCCTTGTTTACTCTGTTCCAGTCATGCTGCCCTCCCTTCCAGTCCCCTTGACACACCAAGCTCCTTCTGGCCTCAGGCTTTGAGCTTACTATTCCCTTTCTGGAACATTCTTACCCCAGGCCATCCACAGTTTGTTCTTTTCACCATTCAGGTCTCAGCTTACACATCATCTCCTCAGAGAAGGCTTCCTTGATCATTCCTTTTAAGAAGCCCACCCCCCAACCCAGCTCTCTGTTCCATTCCTAACAGCAATTTACAACATTTTGTGTCTACTAATTTATCTGTTTATTGTCTGTCCCCAGACTAGATCATGAGCCCCCATAAGGGCAGGAAGGATGTCAGTTTATGTGCCTACACTGGCACTTCAGGCCATGGTTAGTGTATGGTAGATGCTTAAGAACTATCTGCTGAGACAGAAAAGGACAAATATCATATGTTTGCATGTATAGGAGGATTAGGAGGAACTTAACGGAGGACCTTGGGGGAGAAGAAGGGAGGAAATGGTGGGGGAAAGGGAGAGAGGCAAACCATGAGAGACTCTTGAATGCTGAGAACAAACTGAGGACTCATGGGTGTGGGGGGGAGGGAGGAGATGGGCATGGAGGAGGGCACTTGTGGGGATGAGCACTGGGTTTTATATGGAAACAAACTTGACAATAAACTATTTGTAAAAAAATATATATGTATAGTGGAAGAAAGATACATGAAGATAATGCCTCTGTTACTGTCTGATAAGTAAAATAATTCATTTAATTAACCTTTATTTTTCTCCTTTGTGCTAGGTACTGTGCAAAGCTCTGGGAATATAACAGTGGAGAGTATAGATACTAAAGATATAAACAACACAAGGAACATATTGCGGAGAGACAGTCTANAAACTGAGGACTCATGGGTGTGGGGGGGAGGGAGGAGATGGGCATGGAGGAGGGCACTTGTGGGGATGAGCACTGGATGTTATATGGAAACCAACTTGACAATAAACTATTTGTAAAAAAAAAACAAAAACAAAAACAAAACAAAACTATCTGCTGAATGAATGCTCAAATGGGGTCACAGAACATCTCAGTTAGCAGCTCACCCAGGTGAGTTTCCTCATTTTCTGATGAGGTAAAGTGATTTGCCTAAGGTTACAACAGCTGGCTAATTAGAAGCAAATGACGATAAGGACCCCCTGCCTTTCACCCCAATGTCATATTCTTTCTGCCCAATCTGAGGCCTCAGTTTGTCTGTTCCCTAGAGAATCTGGCTCTCCTACACCTCCTGGCTCAAAACTGAGCCAGGCCTCAACCTCCACTGTTTCCAGGACTAACCTAGCTTTATATTCCTGCTTCCCAACTTAGGCAAATATGATCTCCTAGGTGAATACAGGCACAGCTGTCACTATTCATTCTCCTACAAATGAAGCCAGGGCCTTGAAAACAGGGAGAATAGAGTCTTACCAAAGATACATCAGGCATTTTCACCATAAGAGTCATGTAACACATATGTGGGGAGCCTTCTATGTGCTGGGCCCTGTGCAATGAATGAGGCAGTCGGGTCTTTGCTCTGAGTCCCCACCCAAAGCCTTCTAGGTCTTCCAAGAGAATCAAGGCCAAGGTCCCTATTGCAGCACTGCAGGCCCTTGACAACACAGACCCTGCTCTTGTTCCATCTTACATAGCCTCCACTGCTGTCACCATTACCCAACTGGGCACTGCCTTTCTGCCCTTTGGTACTCCCATTCAGCTCAGGGTGCCCAGCATTCCCAGCTGCTGTGCCTGGAGCAAGGCTGCACTCACAGGCCAGGTGCTGGCCCCAGGAGCTCTGTGTGTAGTCCTTTGCACCTTACTCAGAAACATCAACACACTGCAGTGTAGTAAACCATGAGAGGGCTGGAAACCACATCACATGAAAACTGTATGAAGGAATGGAGGATGTTTTGACTGAATAAGAAAATAATTAATGGGGCATTGGCACTGTGCCTGGCTCCAGAAATGTTGAACAAAAACCAAAATGCCATTCTTTAAATATCTAAGGGGCCGTCATGTGGCAAGGAAGCTGATTTCTTCTGTTTTGTTCTTGGGAGGGGGGGCAGGTGGGGAAGTTTTGGGGAGGAGCTAGTTAAAAGTTGCACAAGGCAGAGTTTTGCTGAACAAAAGGAGGAGCTTGGAAATATTCAACCAGCCTTGAGGGAGGGCTGTGCTAGGAACTAGGGCTCCCATCTAGCAGTGACTGGCCTTCCTGCACCCAAAGACTCACAGTCCAGTGGGCAGGAGCATTAAGAGCCAGCCACAACATGAGGTGACAGTGGCATGAAGGGGACCCTGGAGATACTGTTAACTGAGGAACAGCGGTAAGGGCATGGCGAGGGAGTGGCTCTCTGGACTATGATGACCACATACAGTATGACGACCACACATGGGGCTTCAGAAGACAGCCCCTCCCCAAGCAGTCGGAGGCCCATTGCTACTCACCAGAAAGCCCTCATGTCCCCTCCTGGCTGCTCACATGCCGCCCACTCCCACAATGATCAACTCGTGGGCAAACGTGTTTCATACATATGTTCCCTGTCCCCCCGCCCCGCCCAACTCGTGGATAGTTATGTTTTTAACAGACTTTATTTTGTAGAACAATTTTAGACTTAGAAGAATTGAGAATATAGTACAGAGTTCCCATATACTCTCTACCCAGTTTCCTCTATTATTAATGTCTTACATTAGTAAAATATCTTTGTTATAATTAATGAACCAATATCCCTACACTATTATAATTAACTCTGGTCAAGGAGTCATTTAGATTTCCTCTTTTTACCTAATGTCCTTTTCTTGTATCCTATCCAGGACACACATTCCATTTATCCTCTCATCTCCTTAGGCTCCTCTTGGCTGAGGCAGTTTCTCAGGCTTATCTGGCTTATGATGACCTTGACAGCTACTGAGGAGTACCAGTCAAGTATTTTGTATGATACCCAGCTTTTCTAATTTGTCTGATTTGTTCCCATGATTAGACAGGGATTGTGGCTTGTTGGGAAGAGGAACAGGGACATAAAGTGCTATCCTCATCACATCACATCCCATTTCATCATATTAAGGGACTTACTATCAACACAATTTAATCGTGGAGGTTGGGTAAGGTCATGTTTCTCAGGTTCCTCCACTGCAAAGTCACTCTTTTTCCCCCTTTCCATACTGTACTCCTTAGAAGTCACTATGTGCAACCCCCACTCAAAGAAAGGGAGTTATATATCCTCTGTTTTAGAGCCAAGTATCTATGTAAATTATTTGGAATTCTTCTGCATGAGAGATTTGTCTCTTCTCCCCTTTTTATTTATTCATTATACTGATATGTACTCAGGGATGTTTACTGTATACTTTGAGTTATAATCTAATACTATTTTATTTTGTTGTTTAAATTGTTCAAATTGTTCCAGCTTTGACCACACTGGGAGCTCTTTCAGTTGGCACCTGAACCCCTTTGATATGCCTGCCACAATCAATGTAGGGTTTCTGTCCCAACACTTGTTTACTCCCTGGCACTACAAAACGCTCCAGGTTCATCTTGTCTATTTCCTGCCTTAGTGCTAGAATCAATAATTTTCCAAGGAGGCCTTGTTCCTCTTATTTGTTTGTTTATTTATAATTATTTTTTAAGATGCAGGGAGGGAAGGAGACACAGAATCAAAAGTAGGCTCTGTACTGTCAGCACAGAGACCTATGCTGGGCTTAAATCCTTGAACCGTGAGATCATGACCTGAGCTGAAGCTGAACGCTTAACTGACTGAGCCACCCAGCGGCCCCAACTTTGTTCCTCTTAATAAAGAATGGTATTAGAAACCAAGATTGGAGTGCTAGGAGTGCTCTCTGCTACTGGAGTGTCATTTCTTTTAGGCCCTGTCAGCAGACAGACCAAAAGATATATATTGATACACATATCTATAAATATTTCCATGTGTAACCATCTGTATTTATATTAAGCTACACAGGAGTTCACACTGATGTCTTCAACTAATCCATTACCACATGGATCATTCTAGCCTCCTCCTTGTTTGTCTGTAAATTCCTACTCCAATGGTGAGAAATCTGGCTGCCATCATCTACCATTCACTTACTGAATTCATTCATTTTGGACACAGTATCAGAATCGTTACCCATCCACCCATAGGTAACAACTTTATCAACTAGAGTACAGTGCTCATGTGCAATTCCTTCAGCTTTCCATCTCAAAGACCCCGGTCACTTCCAGTGTTACATAGGTCAGCACCTTTTTCTCCCACCCTCTTTCCTGAGGTTGTTTCACACATTTGTAATATCATTAGATTCTCTTGGCATAGTCTGCATTCCCTCCTGGGATCCTCTGCCTCCTAAATAACTTTTTGTTGTTGTTTTCACAAACTACATACATTAAGGTTCATTCTTTGTGCTATAAAGGTCCAAGGGTCTTGTAAAATTCTTAAGCTTTGTACCTAGCATTATGGTATCATACTGAATAATTTTACTGTACTAACAATCCTCTGTACTTTACCTATTCATCCCTATCCTCAAAATCCAAACCTCTGGTGACCACTCATCACTATCTCTATAGTTATCCCTTTTCTAGAATGTCATACAATTGGAATATACAATACTTAATCTTTTCATATGGGCTTCTTTCACTTTAGAATACCCATTTAGAATACCTCCATGTCTTTTCATAGCTTGATAGTTCATATTTCATTGTATGGATCTACCAGTTTGTTTATATTCACTTTTTCATACAAATTTTCCAACTCACTCGAAAATTTGTACATGTCAATATCCACAAAATAACTTGCTGGGGTTTTGACTGGGGTTGTATTGAATCTATACAACAAGTTGGGAAGAACTAACATGTTAACAACAGAACCTTCTAATTCGTGAGCATAGAATATTCCTCTATTTATTTAAATCTTCTTTGAATTTTTTCATTTTAATTAATAAGGGGTATTTTTTGCATATGGATCCTGAATATATTTTGTTAGATTTATACCTAAGTATTTCATTTTTGTGCTTCTATAAATGGTATTGTGTTTTTAATTTCAAATTCCAATGTTCATTGCCTTATACCTTGTGATCTTACTATAATCATTTATTCACTTCTTCAGGAGGGTTTTTTGGTTTTGCTTTTGATTCTTTGGAATTGTTTACATAGACAACCAAACATCTGCAAACAAGGAGAGCTTTGTTTCTTCCTCCCCAATTATGTCTGATTTACTTTTCTTGTCTTAATGGTCTAGCTAGGACTTCCAGTACAATGTTGAACAGGAGTGGTGAGAGGGTACCCCTTGCCTTGCTCCCAGATTATTTTAAAACAAGTCTCATGTATCATATCATTTTATCTGTAAGTATTTGGTTACATATCTCCTAAAATTAAGGGCTCTTAAAAAAACATAACCATAATACCATTATCATATCTAAAAAAGTCAATACTCCTTAATATCATCAAATATAGAGCTGAATGTTTTTAAACCTTTACTGTTATTACTTAACACTCTAGCCCAAATGAACGAGGCTCTCTGCACACTTACCACAGTTTCTCCTTCCTCCACAGTGTGGATCTTGATGTAGGCACCCACTGCAGCCTCCTCAGGGAGATCACCATACTTGGTATTGATCATGGGACATTCAAGCGAATGTGGTTGCCTAGATCTGAAATTTGACAACTTGTTAAAGAGGATTCATTTGTAACATAGGCAGTTCATGAGGTCCTGGACAGTGAGCCCCCACTCTGCAGCATGTTAAGACCTCCCCTTCCTGGAGATTTCATACCACCTCAGAAAGTGAGAAAACTCAAAATCAAGCCCTGGAAGAGATCATGTCAAGAACTAGAGAAGTTGAATAGTGGGGAGACTTAGAGAAAGAGATAGGACTCCTTTAAACTTGAAAGCTGTTATGTGGAAGAAGGGGCTAATGATCTCATGCAGCTGAGCCAGACCTGAATGGTGAGAAGTATAGGCTGGCTGACGTATGCTCAACATGAGGAAGAAATTTCTAAGTCTGTCCAATATAGAACAGACTGCTTTGACATAGAGTAGGCTCTGTGCCCCTGGGGACACAGCACAGGTTGGGGCTCTCCTTCTTGGCAGAAAAGCAGAGAAGAGATGGCTTTGTTTATTTATATAACAGATTTCCTTAGGCAGTCTGTAGATACTGTATTTTGTTCATGTTGGAATTAATTTTACACAGGCAATCCTGTTGTGCTTTCTTTGGTCTCAGGCAAGGTAGAAGGAAGAGACAGGCTATGCTATCTAGATTAGAGGCAGAGAAAAAAATTATTTATCAGATGAGAATATAGCCGATATATTCACCCAATTCATAAATTCACCCAACACATAAACAAGGCAGCCTACAGTTCTCAACCCCCACCCCCACCCCCAGGATGCATACGTGAGTAGCACACGCCCAGCACGGACTTTATTTTTCACTTCTGGGTCCAACCTGTCTGTTCTCCCTTACTGATTTACAGCAGAGAAACTGAGTCTGTTCCATCCCTACCTTGTGAAGAATTGGGATTGGGACTTCAAGCATTGGGTTCCTAGAAAGACTATCCATCAGAGGGAATAACAACTCAGAAGTCATGGGATGCTCCTTATGGAGACAGACAGGTTAGAAATGGTAATACGCAAAGGACTTGACTGAAGTGGGACTTGGGACAACATGAAGGTTGTGATGTTCCTATTAGTATCATTGTGATAGTTTAATTTTACATTTAATGGAGGAAAAGAGGTGTTATATTCCTCTGGGTCCAGCGCTGAGCTGCTTCTAGGCAGGTACCATTGAGTGTTCTTTCCTGCTCCTCAGCCTCTCTGGGATGAGGCATAAGTGCAGCCCTCATCATGCATCCTCATTCCAGCCATGATAGTTGTACCAAAAAACAAGACTGAGCACGAATAAGCTGCTCAAGTTTGAATCCTGGCTCTGCCACTTCCTACCTGTATGAAGTAGCTTAATCTCTCTGTGTAGGTTGGTTTTCTCAACTGACAAATGATATTGATAACAGTACTTCATTAATAGAACTATTGTCAGGATTAAATTTAATAATTCAGTACCAGGCACAGAGTATTCCAGAAGTGTTAGCTATAATTACCATTATCTCATTTAATTGCTGGCTTATAACACCACCAGGACTTGAATCATATTATCTACAGACAAAGAAACTATGGCTTAGAAAGTCAGGTCCCTTGTCCAAGTACACAGATATAAAATAAGTGGCCAAGCCAGGATTTGAACCCGGGTTGAACTGACTCCAAAGCCAGGCTCTTAGCTACTGCCTCCCTTAGATAGGCAGAATTTTCTGAAGAGGCTCTGAGTCAAAAAGTGCCAGTGAGGGGCACCTGGTTGGCTCAGTTGGTTAAGTATCCGACTTCTTGATATCGGCTCAGGTCATGATCTCACAGTTAGTGAGACTGAGTCCTGAGTCAGGCTGTCGGTGCAGAGCCTGCTTGGGATTCTCTTTGCCTCTCTCTGTCCCTCCCCCTCTTGTGTGCACATACCCACACTCATTCTGGAGTCTTCTCTCTATCAACACACACACACACACACACACACACACAGAACAAAGCAAAAAGATCCAGTGACACACAGACAGAATATCAGAGCCAGAGCCATATCTGTCCTGCACCTTCTTCCTCAAATGGGTTCCCTGAGAAAGGAAGTAACTGATCACCTAAAATGGACCTGTGGGTTACAGGCAGAGAATGCAGCTCCTGGGTCTCCAATCTAGCACTTCTCTAGGCTGCCTTCTATATATACCCCAATCTTTGGGACTGAGCTGTGCCTGCTACCTCCAGCCTCTCCCCAGTATCCCTGACATTCTGTCCTTTCAAGTTCTATCTTCCTTTGCAACTAGAGTCTGGATCCTTCTATCTGCCGACCGCTAAGCTTACTTGATCTTCGGGCCCAAGGTCTTTGGGAGAGTATTTCCTGAGGTGTTAGTCCTACTGAAGCTGGACCCCTGTTGTTCCCAGGCTTTCTGGAGGTGCTTAAGTTTCAGAGTACTAAAGTCCTGTACAGGATATGATTTGATCTGGAATTCCTTAAATCTCTCCACAGGAGAAGGTTCTGTTAGAGAAAGCACAGAAAAACACATTACTGGGTCTTTGCATATATTAGGGCTTTGCTGCTGATGATGAAAGGTATACCATCCTCACCTGCCTGGCTAGCCTGGTGCATGGGGAAATTAAGGAAACTGAAAACACTGTGGTTTCCATGTTGTCCCTTTGTGCCAGGCCCTGAGCAGAGCCTGTGCATACATTACATCCAGACAAGTGTCATTGGCTCCATTTAAGAAATAAAATGATAAGCAGAGATGGGGTGCCTCGGTGGTTCAGTTGGTTGAGTGTCTGACTCTTGATTTTTGGCTCAGGTCATGATCTCACAGTTCATAGGATTGAGGCCCAGGTCTGGCCTGTGCTGTCAGCAGAGACTGCTTGGGGTTCTCTTCCTCTCTCTCTGCTCCTACCCTGCTTGTTCATGCACATGCACACTCTCTCTCAAAAATAAATAAATAAACTCTAAAAAAAAAAAAAAAAAGAGCAGCAGAGAGTTTAATTCACCCAGAAAAGGGCTGAAGCTTAGATGTGAACTCAAGTCTACCTGCTTTCAAGCTCATGTCTTTCTAGGGGTGCCTGGGTGGCTCAGTCCATTAAGCAACTGACTTTGGCTCAGGTCATGATCTCACAGTTCATGAGTTCGAGCCCCGCACTGCGAGAACACAAGCCCCACATAGTGTGAATGAAAGCCCTGCTTCTGTCTCTGCCCCTTGCTCACTTGTGCGCTCTCTCTCTCTCAAAAAAAAAAAAAAAAGAAAGAAAGAAAAGAAAAAGCTCATGTCTTTCCACTAACAGATCATATTTATCTGGAATGGGGGACAGAGGCAGCAATAAAAGATAAATAAATGACAAGCTATAGAACCTTGGATGAGGTAATTTTCTGGCACCCTCATAGGATTGTTATAAGAATTGCAGATAAAGTATGTGCTACACCTTGCATGGTACACATAATAGGCCCTATTTAAGAGTTAATAAGATCTCCAAGAGAATACTACTCAGAAGTAAAAAGGAGTAAACCAACTACTCAGAACACTGTACTGAATGAAAAGGAGCTAGGCACAAAAGAGTACATACTGTGTGGTTCCATTTATATGAAACTCTAGGAAAGACAGATCTAACCTATTGCAATAGAAATCAGATCAGTTGTTACCTAGAGTCAGGGGTGAAGGGTAGGGATTGACTGAGAAAGAACACAAGGGAAGTTTTGGGGGGATGGAAATATTCTGTAACTTGACTGTGGCAATTACCACAGATATAAATTTGTCAAAATTCATTGAACCACACGTTTAAAATGTGGGCATTTCATTGTATGAAAATTAAATCTCTATAACTTTGATTTTAAAGATAGATCTGGGGCACCTGGGTGGCTCAGTCAATTAAGTGCCAACTTCAGTTCAGATCATGATCTCTCAGTGCGTGAGTTCGAGCTCATCAGGCTCTCTGTTGTCACCATGGAGCCCGCTTGGGATCCTCTGTCTCCTCTTTCCCTGCACCTCCCCAACTTGTGCACATGTGCATGCACGTATGTGCACTCACTCTCTCTCTCAAAAACAAATAAACATTAGGAGCATATGGGTGGCTCAGTTAAGTGTCTGACTTGAGCTTAGGTCATGATCTCACGGTCTATGAGTTCAAGCCCAACGTCAGGGTCTCTGCTGCAGCTCAGAGCCTGGAGCCTGCTTCAGATTCTGTGTCTCCCTCCCCCTCTCTCTGCCCCTCCCCTGCTTGGGCTCTGTCTGTCTCTCTCTCTCTCTCAAAGATAAAATAAACACAGGGGCACCTGGTGGCTCACTTGGTTGAGCGTCCGACTCCAGCCCAGGTCATGATCTCATGGTTCATGGGTTCGAGCCCCGTGTCGGGCTCTGTGCTGACAACTAGCTCAGAGCCTGGAGCCTGTTTCGGATTCTGTATCTCCCTCTCTCTCTGACCCTCCCTTGCTCACACTGTGTCTCTCTCTCTCTCTCAGAAATAAATAAAACATTAAAAATTTTTTAAATAAAATAAACATTAAATTTTTTAAATAAATAAGCATTATATATATGTGTGTGTAGATATGTATACGTGTATATATATCTACACACACACATAGATATATCTACACACACACACACATATATATATAGGGTGCCTAAGTGGCTCAGTAAGTTAAGCAGCTCACTTTTGGCTCAGGTCATAATCTCAGAGTTCATGGGTTTGACTCCCACACAGGGCTCTCTGCTGTCAGTGCAAAGCCTACTTCAGATCCTCTGTCTCCCTCTCTGTATACCCCTCCCATGCTCTCAAGTGTGTGCTATCTCTCTCAAAAATAAACATTAAAAATTGTTTGATAAAAAAATAAAAATAGATCTCCAGTGTTAAAATCAACTATTAAAAGTAATGTTAATAGAAACAAACCCAAAATCTACAAAGAATAGGCCTAAATTAGCAGAGAACATATAAAAAGCCCTGAGTAAACCTTTTTACAAGGCTTTTTTGGTCACTATCTATCAATATTTTAAGTGTGCATGGCCAGCATGCACTAGATCAATTACTCAATTCAGTAACTCTAAGATTTTATCCACTGTTTCCTTGTACAAGTATGCAAGGATAAACACACAATGAAATTCTCCACATTAGGGTAATAGTGAAAAATTGGAAATAACTCAAAATATCTGTAAAAGGCCATTGCTTTAATTAATTGTGGTATATACATACAGTAGTATAAAACTCAGCTATTAAGAAACACAATTCTAAAAACGAAAGAAAGGAAGGAAGAGAGACACATCTAGACTTCTTTTTTTTTTTAATATTTTTTATTTATTTCTAGGAGAGAGAGAGAGACAGCGTGAGCAGGGGAGGGTCAGAGAGAGAGGGAGTCACAGACTGAAACAGGCTCCAGGCTCTGATCTGGCAGTCAGCACAGAGCCCGACGCAGGGCCCGAACCCACGAACCGCGGGATCATGACCTAAGTGAAAGTCGGACGCTTAACCAACTAAGCCACCCAGGCGCCCCTATATCTAGACTTCTGCTTCCAGCCAAGTGAACTAACAGACTAGACATGCTCTCCCACCTGAAACTACTAAAAAAAAAACTGGGATAAATGTATCCAACAAACGGCTTTCAAGATATTGGGCAACAGGCCATGAAGAACAATTATTCCTGCAAGACAGAAAACAAATGAGATGAGCTCTACTATTGCCCCAGCTTACTGCCTGGAGGGGTTGGAGGTCTTCGGGGCCATGTTGCAGGGAAAGGCAACCCAGGTGGATCCCATAAGCTTCCCCGAACTGATGAGACAGAACTGAGAATCTGGGGAGGACAGGACAGCAAGAGTTCACCAGGGAGCAGAGAGATGCACAAATAAAGAGCTCTGAAGATCAAAGTATAATAAATGGAAACACATCCCATGTTCATGGATTAGAAGACTTAGTATTGCTAAGATTTCAATACCACTCAAAGTGAGCTACAGACTCAATGCAATCCCTATTAAAATCCCAATAACCCAATGACAGGGCACCTGGGTGGCTCAGTCAATTAAGCATCCAACTTTCGCTCAGGTCATGATCTCATGGTTTGTGAGTTTGAGCCCCGCATTAGGCTTTCTGTTGTCAGCACAGAGCCCATTTAAGATCCTCTGTCCCCCTCTTTCTCTGCTCCTCCTCCACTCATGTTTTTTTCTCTCTCTCACTCTCAAAAATAAACATTTTTTTAATCCCAATGACTTTTCTGAAGAAATAAAAAATCCACTCTATAATTTATATGAAATCTCAAGGGACCCCATATAGCCAAAACAATTTTGAAAAAGAACAAAGCAGAAGGGCTCACACTTCCTGATTTGAAAACTTACTATAGAACTACAGTAATCAAAGCAATGTAGTATTGGCATAAAACCAGACATATAAACCAAAAGAATGAAATAAAGGCTCAGGAATAAACCCTCAGATATATAGTCAAATGATTTTAGACAGCATGCCAAGACCATTCCATGGGGGAAAGAACAGTCTTTTCAATAAATGGTGCTAGAAAAATTGAACATTGACATTCACAAGAATGAAGTTAGACTCTTAGTAACACCACATATTAAAATTAACTCAAAATGGATCAAAGACCTAAATGTAAGGCCTAAAACTATAAAACTGTTAGAAGAAAACAGGGCAAAAATATCACAACACTGGACTTGGCAGTGATTTCTTGGATATATACTAAAGACATAAACAACAAAAGGGAAAAAATGGACAAACTGGACTTTAAGAAAATTTAAAAATTTTGTGCATCAAAAGACAATATCAGCAGAGTAAAAAGGCAGCCCACAGAATGAGATAAAATATCTGCAAACCATACAACTGATAAGGGATTAATATCCAGAATATATAGGAAATTCCTAAAACTTAACAAAAAAAGACAAGCAGATTTTAAAATGGGCAGAGAACTTGCATAGACATTTATCCAAGAAAGATATGTGAATGCACAATAAGCACATAAAAAATGTTAATAATAATTATTAGGGAAATATAAATCAAAACTACAAGATACTTTCTCATATCCATTAGGATCAATATCATTAAAAAAACAAAGAGGGGGGACTGGGTCTTAGTTGGTTAAGTGTTCAACTCTTGATTTCAGTTCAGGTCATGATCTCATGGGTTTGTGAGTTCCAGCCCTGTGTAGGGCTCTGCGCTGACAGTACAGAGCCTGCCTGGAATTCTCTCTCCTTCTTTCTCTGTCCCTTCACTGTGTGCGTGCATGTGCTCGCTCTTTCTCTCAAAAATAAACATTAAAAAAACAAAACAAAACAGAAAATAGCAAGTGGTGCTAAGGATGTGGAGAAATTGGAACCCTTGTGCATTGTTGGTGGGAATGTAAAATGGTGCAGCCACTATAGAACACAGTATGGCGATTCCTTAAAAAGATAAAAAATGGAACTACCCTTATGACCCAGCAATCCCACTTCTGGATGTAGATTCAAAAGAAAACAGGGTCTCAAAGACATAACTGTACACTCATGCGCATATCAGCATTATTCACTAGAGCTAAAATGTGGAAGTAGCTCAAGTGTCCATCAATGGATGAATGGATAAACAAAATGTTTATTATTCAGGTTTAAATGGAATATTATTCAGGTTTTAAAAGGAAGGAAATTCTGACACATGCTACAATATAGATGAACCTTAAGGGCATTATGCTAAGTGAAATAAGCCAATCACAAAAAGACAAAAACTGTATGCTTCCACTTATACGAGGTACTTAAAAAGCATAAAGATAGACAGTAGAAGAGTGGTTGCCAGAGGCTAGGGGGAGGAGGAAACAATTCGTTATTGTTTAACAGGTATATACTTTCAGTTTCACAAAATGAAAAAAGTTAAGGAAATGGATGATGGTGATGGCTGTACAATATTATGAAGATATTTAATACCATTGAATTGGAGGTTTAAAAATGGTTAAGATAGTAAATTTTATGTGATGCGTATTTGCCACAATAAATAAATTTTGGGTAAAAAATGTTATGGGATGCAGCTTTTTCTCTGGTGGATTGAGAGCGGAAAAGAGAGGGGGAAAATTGACATGAGAAGAGAAAGGACATTTTCTGAGCATCAACAGGCCCTGTCCATACACAATGTGATTCAGCCTCCCTAGTAACCTGTGTGGTAAAGACAGCAAACATCTACTATATACTAATGCATCCAGGCAGTGTTCTAAGAGCTTTATATATTCATTTGCTTAATTCCATAACAAGCCTATGAGGTTCACATTTTGTGGAGTCTGAGGGAACTAATCCACAGGGACACAGTCACTTGCCCAGTATCACACAACTCATGAGAAAAGGACCCTAGATTCAAACACAAGCAGTTTGGCTCCTGGGCCTATGCTCCTAATCATGACACTATCATGACAGATATGAAGAAACCAGGCCTAGATGCTTTAAGTACTCATCAGAGTCACTCAGCTAATCAGTGAGATTCAAACCCAGCTCTGTCAAGCTCCAGGCTCCTTTCCACCCCTCTCCCTCGGAGCGCCTGACACAAAGGGAAAGCCTAAAAAGGAGAAGCTGGACGGGGGGCAGGAGCCTCACCCGGCGGGGCCAGTGGGCCACGTTTGCACAGCTGGGAGAAGAGGAGATCAAACCAGACATCCTGCCGCGTCTTTCTAGCTCTAGCGGTCTAAGATTCTATAGGCTGGGAACTGGAAGCAGAAGGGCCCAGGCGCCCCCTGCTGTGCGCAGAGGCCAGTTACCATTGAGGTGGGTCTTCAGAGGTGTGTCATCTATCAGCTTCAGATGCTGCCAGATCCACTTGTAGTAGAAAGGCGAGGTCCCAAGGTCTATCAGACGCAGGACTTCACAGCTTCCCTGGAAACATCAAGGGACACAAACAAAGGGGCTAACTCCTAAGGCTACAGGCAGACCAGACTTTGAAGATAAACTCTCTCTATTGCATCTTACCCCAGTTTACTTGGCTTAATGCAAGAGGTTTCAAGTTCCTTTTTCTTTTCCTTTTTCTTTTTTTAATGAAAATGTTATCTACTCATCACAAGTTCAACTAGCTTAATAGGCATAAGAACTAAATAAATGCTGGCACTGGGAGAAAAATCACCATAGAGAATATGATTGGGGAAATTGGTGAAATGGACTATGGACTGTAGATTATATGTTTCATCAGTGTTAAATTCCAATTTGGAGAATTATTCTGCAGTTAATTTCTGACCTTGGAAAATAATCACTTAAGGGGCACCTGAGTGGCTCAGTCGGTTGAGCGTCCAACTTTGGATCAGGTTATGATCTCACAAGTTTGTGAGTTAGAGCCCCATGTTCAGCTCTGTGCTGACAGCTCGGAGCCTGGAGCCTGTTTCAGATTCTGTGTCTCCCTCTCTCTCTGCTCCTCTCCCACTCATGCTCTGCTCTGTCACTCTCTCTCAAAAGTAAATAAACACTAAAAAATTTTAAAGAAAATAATCACTTAAGTATATAGGGGTAAGTGAGTATAACAAATGATATTTAACTCTCAAATGATTCAGGAAGGGAAACAGAGGGAAAAAAAGAAGCAAATGTAGCAAAATGTTAACAACTGGTGAATCTTGATGAAGGTTATACAGGAATTCTTTGTGCTGTTCTTACAACTCCTCTATAAATTTAAACCCATTCCAAAATTAAAAGTTTTAAAAATATTCAAACCAAACAGAAGAGCATAAAGAAAGTTAAAACTATTTTCATCCTAACACCCAGATATAACAAGTAGCATTTTGGTGAATATTGTTTCAAACTTTTCTCTGTAAACATAACATAAAATGTTATAATAATATATTACAACAAATAATGTATTTACATTTTTTCATAAATGAGTCATTTTATGTAAAATAGATCCTTGTAATCTTTTTTAAGAACTCAATAATATATCAAGGACATCATTTCATGCCAAGTAATATGGTTCTATATTATTGTCTTTAGGGATTGCATATTATTCTATGTATGCCATAACTTACACAGAATTTAAAATAAATAGTTGAGCAAAAGAAGTCAAACACAAAGAGCACATTCAGTATGATTTCATTTATATGAAGTTCAAGAATAGGTAAAAGGGTGCCTGGGTGGCTCAGTAAGTTAAGCATCCGACTTCGGCTCATGTCATGATGTTGCAGTTTGTAGGTTCAAGCCCTGCATCAGGCTCTGTGTTGACATCTCAGAGCCTAGAGCCTCCTTTGGATTTTGTGCCTCTCTCTCTCTCTGCCCCTCCCCTGCTCATGCTCCGTCTCTCAAAAACAAATAAATATTTAAAAAAAAAAAAAACAGTCAGGGGGCTCCTGGGTGGCTCAGTCGGTTAAGCGTCTCAGTCGGTTAAGCGTCTGACTTCAGCTCAGGTCATGATCTCACGGTTCGTGGGTTCGAGCCCCACATCAGGCTCTGTGCTGACAGCTCAGAGCCTGGAGCCTACTTCAGATTCTGTGTCTCCCTCTCTCTCTGACCCTCCCCTGCTCATGCTGTCTCTCTGTCTCTCTCTCTGTCTCTCTCTCTCTCAGAAATAAATAAAAACATTTAAAAATGTTTTTAAAAATTGAACAGTCAAAAGTAATCTTCTGGCTTCATGGTTATCTTTGGTTGGGGGTTGCATTTTGCCTTGGGAAGGGTACAAGGGAGCCTTCCAGGGTACTAGAAATGATCTCTATCTTGATTTGCGTGATGCTTACATAAGTATATACATATGTAACAATTCACTAACCTGTAAAGTTTGGATCTGAGTTCTTTATTGCACAATTACACCTCAAGGAAATATTTTTGAAGATTAATATTCAGTTCTTTCTAATGTGTCAGTATTATATATAACTCTGATCTTGTCCAGAACAGTAAAATCCCCAGTTTACAAAACTCACCACCATTCTAGCTACTGACACATAAGTGGAAGGCTGCTGTATAAAACTCCCAGGAAACCTGCAGTTGTCCTTTCCCCTTACCTCTGCCTAAAACTCAGATGCGATGGCTGGAGGTGGAATAGTCACACAGAGACCATTAGGATGAAAGCTATATGCGTGGATGATGAGAGGAGAAGCTATAAGGGAACTGGGTCTTGAAAATTTCCCCGAGCAGCTGTTCTAGCCCTGGATTGCTTAATTCTAGACTCTGCTGCAAGACAAAAGGAAACTACTATTCACTAAGCCACTGCAGTTGGGTTTCTGTGACAGCAACTTTAACTGATAATCTTGTACACACATCTTAATGCCTAGAGTGGTCATTAAGACAGCTCACAAATACTCAAGTTCTCCCCCCAAGCATAAGACAGAATTGTTTTTTCCCTTTGAATCAGATATGGCCTTCTTACTTGCTTTGGCCACTTTCCTTAGCAAAGTGACTCTGGTAATGTGAGTGGAAATGTTAACAGCCTGTGCTTGATTCTCAACACTACCTTCCCCTGTCCTATTGACCACAGAAGCATAGGTGAAGATAGTCTCCAGTGGCCTGGGTCCCTGAATGACCATGAAAAGCAAGGACTCCTGCTGATCAAATAGTGAGATTGAAGGAATGCACCTTTGTTAGTTAATCCACTGAGATTTGAGGATTGCTTAGAATTGCAACATAACCTTATTTATCCTAATATAATGCCCATGTTTGATTATCCCCTTGGGATTGTCTCCTACAGGCATGTATGTTTTAAATTCTGACACACATTGCCAAACTGCCTTCCAGCAATGTTAGATTAGTTTACACTTTCTCCAACAGTGTATAACAGAGTCTATTATATCTCTGTATTACATTAAAAGCTGGGTTTTCACAATCCTTTTAATCTTTCCTAATCTGGTAGGAAAGAACGATATGTCATTTTTCTTATTTATTTTATATCTTTTTATAAAATCTTACCCTTTTTTAGTAGGAACTTTAAGAGGCACATTATAGTTAAGGTTCAAGTCCAACTACTGTTGAAGAGGAAGGAGAAGGGATAAGACATTCATTAAGCCCTTATTATATGCCAGGTGTTGGTCTTGGAAGCTTAGTGAACATTCATTCAACATTTATCAACAAGGAACTGCAGGTGCCAGAGAAACACAGGTGAACATTTTCTTCTCAGAAAGGCTCTCATGGGTCTTTAACCCCATCTGTATCTGTGTAGAAAACAATTTCACCATGTGTCCACAAATGATAATTTGTTACAAATGAATTGATTATGGGCATTAACTATGTTTTCTATGCCACCAGGAAATCACCTTCCCTAACTTTCCCAGGTCCCCTGGACACCCAAGGCCCCTCACTGCTATCTCCCTCTAGTGGCAATATTGGTGAACTTCAGGGGTCGGGACCTCCCAGTCTCCGATGAATGAACGCCCCAGCAGCTGGCCTGGCAGGAAATAAAAATGGGACAAAAGAGCAGTCCCTTTAGAAAGGGCAGGTGCTTTTCAGCTCCAGCCAGAGAGGGCCACATCACAATACAGCCTGGTGTTGCCTGATCTTCTGAATAGTCAAAAGACGCCAGAAATCCGAAATTTTATTTACAGTCTTCATAATAACTATTAAATCAGATTTCAGTAAAACACTGTAAAGGACAAATCAAACTCACCTATTATTAGTTAGGATGCCCCCTTCCTGCTGTCACTTTGTGACACCTGTATTATTTTTCTCAGACTGAAGTTCAAGAGCGCTTGCATTAAAATCTCTGGCTATCCTTATTCAAATGCAAATGACCAGAGTTAATGAATGAGAATCTCTGGGCAGAGGCAGAAATTTGCCTTCTGAAGAAGTCCCCTAAGTGTTCTTTATGCTTACTCAAATATAGAGAGACTCTTTCCTCAGGTCAGAGTTCTCCACGTTTAGTGTACACCAGAATCACCTGGAAGGCTTGTCAAGACAGATTACTGAGGTTTGGACTGAACAGCTCTTGGGTAGGCCTGAGAATCTTCATTTTTAATAAGTTCCCAGGTGATACTGATGCTGCTGATCCAGCGACAACACTTAGAACCGCTGAATTCGAAGATGAATGTGAACCGAGTAAATCTGGGCTAGACCAACTCTCATCCTTGTAGACTTTATGAGGTAAATAGTCCTGTTTTACAGATGAAGAAATGGAGGCTAAAAGAGACTAAGGACTTTTTGCTGGTCAAGATGTAATCATCATGCTGATTAAGGCAAGTCTTGACCTTATATCCTTTACCAGTCATGCCCCCAATCTTTTCTGGCTATATAGTATCAAAAGACCTCAGAGTTAAATTTGGGGACATATGGCATTCTTGGCTTTGGAGGTGATCACCCCAAAACTTTAGGAAAGAGGGAGCAGATGTCAAGGAGAAGGAACTGCAAATATTCAGGCTGGCCTTCAGGGTTCGGCACTACCATTCTCTCTTGAGCTTCCCCATGCTCTCCACGTGACCATCAAGATTCTCCAAACTTATCAAACTACTCCCTGTGGCTGGCAAGTACCTTCTCCTCATCCCGTCCATCCTCTGGGTCAAATCCTGTGCATCCAATTCCTTAGAATGTATAGGCTGGAAGCCAAACACTCTCAAACATCTCCGAAGTCCCCTTGCACCTAAGGAAGTGATTTGGGCTCCACCACCCAGATGCGCTTGGGCAAGGCTTGGTTTTGGACTGCAGTATATCTACTATGTTCATGGAGGCAGTGGGGGCAGTGGGTACAGACATGGCTTCCTCAATGTGGCAGGAGCAGCAGCACCTGTGACTGTCCAGTTCTGGCCTCTGACTTGGAGTCATGTGGGGGTCATGTTCGGTCGAAGGTCTGTTCCTTCACGCCTCCCCCTCACAAGTAAATCTGTTAGCCATTCAACATCCTACAATAACTCCCCTCCTGCTTATGTTTAGCTAGTCTTGACTCCCTTCTCTGGGACTGAACCCAGAATTAACAACACAAATATACCCCTAGTAATAAGTTTAATAACTGGCTCTCTGGGGAAATGTTTGCATGTCTATAAATCTTACTCTTATAAAGGTTGTGTTATACACAATTTAGGAATAATAAAATATACTATACTTTTATTGAAAGTTCCTATATATAGGGGCGTCTGACTGAGTCAGTAGAGCATGTGACTCAGATCTCAGGATTGTGAGTTCGACCCCCACATTGGACATGGAGCATGCTTAAAAAAATTTTTAAAGAAGTTCCATATAGGGGTTCCTGGGTGGCTCAGTTGGTTAAGTGTCTGACTTTGGCTCAGGTCATGATCTCACAGTTCATGGGTTTGAGCCCCGCATTAAGCTCTGTGTTGAACATTTGCTCAGAGCCTGGAGCCAGCTTCAGATTCTGTATCTCTTTCTCTCTCTGCCTCTCTCCCACTTGTACTCTGTCTCTCAAAAATAAATAAATGTAAAAAAAAATTTTTTTTAAAGAAGTTCCATATAGCCAATGGATTCTTACAGAAGGCTGTTGTGGGCTCTGGCTGAATTCTTGTAACCATGGCCAATCTAGAGTCACAAGTAAACTGTGATTTGATAAAGTTGTATGTAGTCTACTCTTTGCCTAATACATTTTTAAAAAGTCTTTCCTTTAATGTTTATTTTTGAGAGACAGAGTACAAGTGGGGGAGGGGCATATAGACAGAGGAAGACACAGAATCTGAAGCAGGATCCAGGCTCTGAGCTGTCAGCACAGAGCCTGATGTGGGACTGGAACCCACAAACCACGAGATCATGACCTGAGCTGAAGTTCAATGCTTAACCAAGTGAACCACCCTGGTACCCCCAATACATTTAATATTATTAAGACTAATTTGCAGTCTAAAAGCAAACCAGTTCTCACCTTTGTATAAATTATATTCATTAAATGGAAACCTTTAGTTTTAGTGCTACATATACCAGAATGTTGCTTGTTCATCAACAGTGTAACTTCTATGATGAATCTATGATGAATAGCACTTGTTTTAGTTTATTTATTTATTTTGAGAGAGTGCATGTGTGAGCAGAGGAGGGCAGAGAGAGGGAGGGAGAGAATCCCAGGTAGGCTCCACACTGTCAGTTCAGAGCCCACCACGGGGCTCAGTCTCACAAACCACAAGATCACAACCTCAAGCCAAAACCAATAGTCAGACGCTTAGCCGACCCAGTCACCCAGGCACCCCTACATAATTTCATTTTTAATAACACTTGTATTTATTGTCTTGCAAAATTCCTGGAAACTTTTTTTAATATATATTCTTTTAATTTTTTTTAACGTTTTATTTATTTCTGAAAGAGAGAGAGACAGCGTGAGCAGGGGAGGGTCAGAGAGAGAGGGAGACACAAAATCTGAAGTAGGCTCCAGGCTCTGAGCTAGCTGTCAGTACAGAGCCCGATGCGGGGCTCAAACCCACGAACCATGGGATCATGACCTGAGCTGAAGTCGGACACTCAACCGACAGAGCCACCCAGGCGCCCCACAAAATTCCTGGAAACTTAATTAGCTCTCATAGCTCAGTAAGAGCCAGCTCCAGCACACAACCAATCTTGTCCCCTTTTTTGTCTAATTGTCCAACACTTCAAGGCTCAGCCCCTGCCTCACCTCCTCCAGGAAGCCTTATGTACAGCCTCCAGCCTTTAGAGAGATTTCCCCCGCCTGAGTCCCCGTAACTCAAAAGGTTTGCACTAATCACTTGGTAGTTGGCATGGAGCACTTGGTCTCTGCTCAGAACCTAATGAAAGGCACACATAAGCAGAGAGAAACAGTCTTTTCCAACTTCATATCCCTCCAGAGCATGAATCAACCTTGGCACAAACTCAACAAATGTCTGGTGGCTTAATATGAGCAACAGATATATGGGAGATACTAAAAGTTTGGATGGCCTTTCTTAAGGTGTCTTAACTTCAACTTCTTCATTTGTAAACTTGGGAGTAATAATATCTTCCTCAAGAGTACCTGGTTGTCCCAGTCGGTTGAGTGTCCGACTCGATTTCAGCTCAGGTCATGATCCCAGGGTCATGGGATCAAGCCCTGCATTGGGCTCTGCACTGAGCACGGAGCCTGCTTAATATCCTCCCTCTGTCTCTCTGCCCCTCTACCCCACTTGTGTGCTCTCTCTCAAATTAATAATAATTATTATTACTATTATTATTATTATACATATCTTCCTGATAGAGCTATAGTGAAGATTTATGGTGAAACGGTACTATATACATAGTTATTCATCAAAGCACTGTTTGAAATAGCAAAAGATTAGGGCAACTAAATATCCATCAATAGGGAACTGGTTAGATAAATTCAAGTACAAGCCTACATGTAGTGAAACACTGCACAAGTGGTAAAAAAGAATGAGTGGGTTCTTTATGTACTGATATGGAACAATCTATAGAAACACTCTTGAAACAGCCAAGTGCAGAACAGCCTGTATAATATGATGCCATTTATGAAAACCAGGGAAAAATATACACATGCATTTGCCTCTATATATAAAGAAGAGAATGAGAGAATAGATGCAGGACAGACACATGAGAAAGTGGTGACAGTGACTGTCTCTGGGGAGGAATACTGGGTGGCAGGGGGAAAGAGGTGAAAGGGAAACATTACTCTTTTGAACCTTTTGAATTTCGAACCATGTGCATGTATTACCTGTTCCAAAATAAACAAAAAAATTCACAGTGCTAGTAGAACCCCTGGTACAGGAACAAAGGGCCTCGAAAAATGGTAGTTCTCATGATGATCATGAAAACTACTGAGGGGTTGAGCAGGGTCAACAACTGACAGAAAGATCGACTCAAATTGCAAATCCCAGTTCCTGAGAAGAGCTTTGGAGTCAGACCGATCTGGGTTGAACCTGGCTTCTGTCCCTCATCGACTGTGTGACCTTGGAGGGGCCACTTCACCTTCCTATGCCTCAGTTTCCACTTCTGTACAATAGGAATAACGACACCACCAACCTCCGTTGGGCCACTGTGAGGCCAAAATGAAATAAAGCCCTTGAGGCACTCAACCAGGGACATAGTATGCACTCAATAAATGTTAGATTTTCTTTTCATTATCAACCAACAGAGAAGTTGGCACAGGACAAAAAGCAATTCACAAAAGACAAAATTCAGACAGTAAACAAACATGATTAATCTCACTAGTAATCAGGAAAAATGTAAATTAAGTCCTCAATGAGGTAGCAGTTGCCATCTATTAAATTAGAAAATTGTTGAGGGGCACCTGGGAGGCTCAGTCTTGAAGTGTCCAACTCTTCCTTTTTTTTTTTTTAATTTTAGTGTTTATTTATTTTTGAGAGACAGAGAAAGAGACAGAGCACAAGCAGGGGAAGGGCAGAGAAAGAGGGAGACACAGAATCCGAAGCAGGCTTCAGGCTCTGAGTGGTCAGTGCAGAGCCCAATGTGTGGCTCGAATCCATGAACTATGAGATCATGACCTGAGCTGAAGTCAGAAGCTTATCCGACTGAGCCACCCAGGTGCCCCTTAAGTGTCTAACTCTTGATCTCAGCTCAGGTCTTGATCTCAGAGCCATGAGTTCAAGCCCCACATTGGGCTCCATGCTGGGTATGAAGGCTACTTAAAAAAAAAACAAAAAAAAAACTTTCGAAAGACTGCCTGACAAACCTGGCAGAGGTATATGGCACTGGCAAAGGTGTGCCCAGCTGGGAGCTGGATAAAGTGGTTCTGTTTGGAGAGTAACTTGTTCCAAGATTCATAAAAATAATGACACCATGGGGCGCCAGGGTGGCTTAGTCGGTTAAGCGTCCGACTTTCGCTTAGGTCATGATCTCGCGGTTTGTGGGTTCGAGCCCCGCGTCGGGGTCTGTGCTGACTGCCAGCTCAGAGCCTGGAGCCTGTTTCAGTCTGTGACTCCCTCTCTCTCTGACCCTCCCCTGCTCATGCTGTCTTTCTCTCTCTCTCCTAGAAATAAATAAAACATAAAAAAATAATAATAATTAAAAAAAAAAAATAATGACACCAAACAATTCCGCTTCTGAAAATCTACTCTGAGGTGACGAGCTCCTGGGTGATTTCTTCCCTTTTTCCAGAACTCTGTTTTATGCTGGGGTCATATCACTTCTATAATTTAAAAATTATAATTTTATGTATTTATTTTTTTATTCTCAAGTTATAAGTGTAGTCTTGACTTCAGAAGTAGAACCCAGTAATTCATCTCTTACATGACACCCAGTGCTCATCCCAAAGTGCCTGTCACAATTAACCACCCCCAACACCCCTCAGTTTGTTCTCTGTATTTAAGAGCCTCTTATGGTTTGTCTCCCTCTCTGTTTTTATCTTATTTTCCTTCCCTTCCTCTATGTTCACCTGTTACGTTTCTCAAATTCCACATGAGTGAAATCATATATTTGTCTTTCTCTGACTGATTTATTTTGCTTGGCATAATACCCTCCAGTTCCATCCACATTGTTGCAAATGGTGAGATTTCATTCTTTTTCATCACTGAGTAGTATTCCATTGTATACATATACCACATCTTTTTTATCCATTCATCAGTGGATGGACAGTTGGGCTCTTTCCATAATTTGGCTATTGTTGATGGCATTGCTATAAACATTGGGGTGCATGTCCCCTTCAAATCAGTAAAAATTATAATTTTAAAAACTTACCTGGCATCATTAAGATTTAAGAGCCAAATGCGTAATTTAAGTATATATCTTTATATAAAAACAGCACATATTTGAACTTAGGGAGCAGGTACTCCTTTGGCCCTCTTTCTAACAGCAAAGTTCATAGCAACCCTTGGAAGGAGGGAGGCCAAACTTTATTGTATGCCTTTTGCAGCTAGCATACAGAAGCTCAGAGGAAATGCTGCAGAACTGGGCTCAGACCCTGCCTGTGTGGCCACAGGACATTATACTAGGCATGCCTTCCCAGCTTCCACCCCTTCCATCTTAGGCCTCTCACCTTGCAGACAAACATGATGGAGGGTGACTCTATGAAGTCTTTTGTGATTAGCTGCCCATACGAGAACTTCTCCACCTTCCCCAGGGTTACGAGCTTCCACAGCTTCTCATTAGACCACGACTGAAACAGATCCATCTTCCTGAGGGGAAAATCCTGTTAGAATTAATTGCCCCTCATCACCGACAGTACCCTGCTCTCAGCAGTTTCCAGAAAGGGAACACATCTTGCTCTTGCAAATGCCTGAGGTTGAGGACTGTACTCCCCCTTCTAGTCCCTCCCTTCCCTCCCCTGGCCTGTGGCACCCTCCTGGGGTTCTCTCCTCTGCTGGTCTTCAGTCAGTGCTCTGCTTCTCTTCCTCCCACTCTGCCCCCCAGAGGCTTCTTCCTGGCTCCATCTTCTAACCTTGTGCTCACTAGGCTAGTCTCATTCCAAGCAACTCTGAGAGTTCCTCACTTCAGCTCACCTGCTATTCTGTCTCCCAGCCCAGCAGTCCTGACCTTACCTTTGGCTTGGACAGCTCACTCCAGCCTCCCCCAGCCTACCAGCTTCAAATACTCTGGCCTGTGGCCGGTGAGTGGGAAACGTCTGAACTCCCCTCTTTTTTCTTTTCTGTGACTGAAGGCCCACTCCACTGTGCCTCCCGCCTTCCCCTGAGCTCCTATGCCACCAGTCAGGGGCTTGCCTTCCCTCACACACAGCCCCACAGGGCTGCTAACAATCATCTCCTACTTTCTCAGCTCCAACAGATTATGAGGCCAGAACTCGGATGAATCAGGGCAGTGAGTTTCATCCACAGCACCAAGGGGGAACAGGGCCGGTGCTATGTCCAAAAGAGAAGGGTCTGGAGACACAGGAAGGAAAGCACAGAGGGAAACACCCATGGGGTCACACACTTCCCATGATCATCATCAATCCTTATGATGATGTGGGAGATGAATCATCCTCACTTTACAGAGCAGGAGACTAAACTCAGAGAAGGGAAGTGACCCATCTCAGGTTACATGGTTAATAAGCCCAAGGGCTGAGATTGCAACTCAGCCCTATTCTTCCACTGTGTGACAACAGTAAGTGCTCCTCTCTGCAGGACCAAGTCCTCCCTTAGCCGGCTCCAGTCCCTCTTACAGCTCCTGCTTTCCCACTCCACTCCACCCTGCAGGGCAGCCCACCACACTGCTCTAGAGGTGCACAACCCTACACCCTGTATTTTCAGGGCCGGTGCAGATACTTCATTTGATTTTCATTCTTCTCCTAAAGACAAGTAACTAGAAATGATTAAGTGAACGCCTGCGTGTGCCTGGCATGATGACAACATGGGGAGGGGGGGGGTTACCCTGGTGAAGGTGCCAATCTGCCCTCACCGCCATAGTATTTCCTGTCTGAGGGGCATATAAACTGTAAAGGTGGTGCTATGTGATCAAGAAGTACAATTTGGGAGCACCTGGGTGGCTTAGTCAGCTAAGCATCCCACTTCAGCTCAGGTCATGATCTCATAGTTTGTGAGTCTGAGCCTCATGTCAGGCTCTGTGCAGATAGCTTGGAGCCTGCTTTGGATTCTGTGTCTCCCTCTCTCTTTGCCCTTCCCCCACTTAGGCTCTGTCTCTCTCTGTCTCTCTCTCTGTCTCTCTCAATCTCAAAAATAATAAACATTTAAAAAAGATTAAAAAGAAATACAGTTTGGGAGTACTGGTTAAGCGCCCGTCTCTTGATTTTGGCTCAGGTCATGGTCTCATTGTCAGTTGTGAGACTGAGCCCCATGTAGGGCTCTGTGCTAAGCATGAAGTCTGCTTGGAATTCTCTCTCTCCTTCTCTCTGCCTCTCCCCCAAGTGCTCTCTCACTCTCTCGCTCGCTCGCTCGCTCGCTGTCTCTTTAAAAAAAAAGAATTACGGTTTGGCTAGAGCTTTAAAGAAACACAAGGTGTGATAGAAGCACTGGGGGGCATCCTTTCTATTCTGGAGTGAGGGCTGATGAAGTTGGTTAGTGATGTCGGGTGGTGAAGCCCAAGGACTTCTGAACTGAACAGAAGTTTCAAGCCTTGGTTTCCGTAAACCAGAGACTACAAGAGAAACAATATCACAGGTAAAATCCCTGATACAAAGGGCTTAGCACTCTGCCTGGCGGAGCAAGTGCTCGTACATGTTAGCTCTTCTATTAGTACCATCCCACAAGGAAGGAATGTTTGAGCTGAGACCTGAAGGTATAATAGCAGTTTGCTAGATGAAGAAGTTGGGTGGGAAGTGTCTCCTGCCGCAAGAGCATTCCAGACACAAAGAAAAGCACCCACTATTTCCCACTGGGCCTAGGGCGAAGTCAGGCACCTAATAAACACCAAGGGGAAAGATGTTGGCTGATGATGCGGGTACCTGAAAAATTCAAACTGATGCTGAGCATCCTTTTGGAATTCCTGGTCCAGCTTATTATCAAGGAAATCTTTTCTGTCGACAACCAGGAACTCTGTTTCTTCCATACAGACCACGGTGGACTTCCTGCCTGAAGTATTCAGAAGGCCTAAGTCCTGTTGGATGGACACAGGCAAAGGCAACTGAGAGGCTACCCCTGGCTTTCTACTCACAGCCTTGCCCACCTCTTTCTTGCTTCCACCAGCCCCCAGAAATCTCTACTCCCAGGGCTGCAGGTTCCCTGATTGGTCCTGTGCTCCTGCTCACTCCCCACCTCTGGAGGCCTATCCCCTCTCTCTTAATATGCTGCCTGTGGAATAAGAGGCAACAGGCTTGACCAGACCAGAGAGAAGAAGCCGGGAGTGCCTTGATGAGGGGCCGTTGCATCCCTGTGTGGTTATACAGGGAACATATTCCTTAAACATCACGGACGGGAGGAGCCAGGCTTGGACATCGCCTGGTCCAGTCAATTGGCAGGTGACAGGTAAGGGCACTGGAGACCCACACAGGGCACGACTCACAACACAGGAGAGGGCAGGACTGGGCCTCACTGTTCTAGCAAGGAAGGCAGACCTTTCCATGTGCTCACCCCAAAACAGTCGCCCTTGTGCAACAACGACGGGTGGGGGTCCAGGAAGGCGCTGCTGCCGTCCTCGTCCTCAGTCACCGCGACTGTGCCCATGTAGATGAAATAAAAGCTGCTGCCCCTCTGCCCCTTCTTGATCATCACACGTCTGCGACCAAACCTGAGAAAAGCCCAAAGCCAGTAGATCTAGTAGCAGCAGGAAGCCCGGCCCCCTGAGAGGAGCTCTGGGCGGCTTGTACTTTTTGCTCTGGACAATGAAGGCACAGACTAGACTAGAGGGGACCCCACAGCAGTCCAGGTCCAGCCCCATCAGGCTTGACCTCTTCACTAACATTCACCTAGTCGCCCACCTCTATCAGACCAAAGCTTCCTGTGAGCAGAACCTTTGTCAGACTGCTTAGACATACAGTAAATGCTCAGTGAACAGCAGCTGAATGAATGAATGAGCAAATACTGAAAGTAATGAATGAGTAGCTAAATATTGAAGAAGACTGGCTTTTGAGTCAGACCCAGATCCAAGTCCTGATTCTGCCACTTAGCTGTATGACACTGGGCACTCATATTCTTTCTGAGTCTCAGTTTCTCTTGTCTGTAAAATATAGCTGAACATACCTAGAAAAGGATAGACAGATGGTCTTATTATAATCTGTAAGAGCTCACTACACAACTGGGAACTGTCAGGGTAGAGGTGCCAGGTCCAGAGCAAACTACGAGTTCTCTCTTAAGCTCAGAGGAGAAAATTTTCTGTATTTAAAATATAAGTTCAAATTTCACTTCTTTCAAGATTCATTCATTCCCTTCATTCAATAAATTAAATAAATACCAACTGTGTCTATCAGGCACAGCGAGAAAGGACAGATTTTTTTTCTAAAAATTATGGTCAACTACAGAGACTAACTAAGGTTTAAAAATGCTTGAAGAGGGGCACCTGTGTGGCTTAGTCGGTTAAGCGTCCGACTTTCGCTTAGGTCATGATCTCGCGGTTCGTGGGTTCGAGCCCTTCTTCGGGCTCTGTGCTGACTGCCTGCTCTGAGCTTGGAGCCTGTTTCAGTCTGTGACTCCCTCTCTCTCTGACCCTCCCCTGCTCATCCTGTCTCTCTCTCTATCTCCTAGAAATTAAAAAAAAAAAAATGCTTGAAGAAAGGTAAGCACAGGCTAATTCAGAAGCACAAGGAAAGGGCATTTAATCCAGCTTAGGAGAGCCAGAGTAGGCTCCAGGACAGTGTCTGGAGTCTTCCAGGTAGGCAGAGAGATGGGAGAGTGTCCCAGGCAGAGGGATGACCATATCCAAAGGCACAGAGGTGGCTGGAAGCATGGTATGTTCAAAGGAATAACAGTAAGTTCCATTAGAAAGGACAGTGGAAGACAGGGAAGTCAGAGGAATAGTGGGAGAAAAATTTGGCTGCGTCTAATCATGAGAGACTTCAAAAATTAGGCTAACTTTGGATTTTACCCAGAAGGTAATGAGGAGCATTAAAGAGGAGATAGGGAAGAGGACAAAGAGTAGATGGCTCAGACAACAAAGACTGAATGGGAGAAGGCAAGCACATTCAGCTAGGAAATGAGATTTTAGGATGAGAGGGCATGGCCAGTGTTTGTTCGAGTACAGACTCCTGGAGCTGGAGCTGGAAAAACCCTCAGAAACTGTCTAGCTCAACCTATATTATGGGGATGAGGGAAGCGGGGCCCAAGGAATCCCAGGCTTGCTGAAGGCACACAGTGAGTCACACTTGAGTCAGTGCTAGAACCCAAGTCTCCAGGAGCAGATATCTATTGCTTTTGCAGCCAAGCATCAGATCACCTTTTCTGCCAACTGCACCCTGATTTTATTTTGGGGGAAACTTTTTCTTGACTCTCAGACAATCAGAATACCACTGGCCCATGGATGATTCAAGTGAAGCCAATTGGTTCAGAAAGAACATATTGAGGCTCCTGGGTGGCTCAGGCAGTTAAGCATCGGCCTCTTGATCTTGGCTTGGGTCATGATCTCATGGCTCATGAGTTCAAGCCCCATATCAGGCACTGCGATAATGCAGAGCCTGCTTGGGATTCTCTCTCTCCCATTCTCTGCCCCTCCCCCAGTCATGTTCTCTCCCCCCCCCAAAATAAATAAATAAGCTTAAAAAAAGAAAGAATCCCAAGGCTGCGACTCAAGAGACTGAGAAGTATTCCATTTTCCAGTGGACTGAAACTGAAAAGAGGAAAATTTGGAGCCGTGGTTGTAGTAGCCATCTTGCTGCTGTGAGGCTGCTTGCTGCACTTGCTAGCTGAGAAAGTGGGTTTTGAGAATGACGTGTAAGGTGGAGAGAGACAGACAGATGCTGGGTCCTGGTGACACTGGGCCCCTGGATTCAGCTGAGTTGGAAGCTAGAGAACTATCCCAGCACTTTTCAGATACATGAGTCACCAATGCATTCCCTAGGGCTTGGTTTTCTGTCACTTGCAACTGAAAGAATCCTGTCTGATCTGCTAATTTCCAGTCCTGAAAATAATCATTGGGGTGCATGTGCCCCAGCATTTTTGTATCCTTTGAGTAAATTACCTGTAGTGCAATTTATTGCTGGGTCATAGGGTAGTTCTATTTTTAATTTTTTGAGGAATCTCCTCACTCTCTTCCAGAGTGGCTGCATGAGTTTGCATTCCCACCAACAATGCAATAGGGTTCCCCCTTCACAACATGTTGTTTCCTGAGTTGTTAATTTTAGCCATTCTGACAGGTGTGTGGTGTTATCTCATTTGGTTTTGATTTGTATTTCCCTGATGATGAGTGATGTTGAGCATCATTTCATGTGTTGTTTGCCACCTATCTGGATGTCTTCTTTGATAAAGTGTCTATTCATGCCTTCTCCCCATTTCTTTACTGGATTATTTGTTTCTTGGATGTTGAGTTTGGTAAGTTCTTTTTTTAAATTTTTAATGTTTTATTGATTTCTGAGAGAGAGATAGCATGAGCAGGGGAGGGCCAGAGAGAGAGGGAGACACAGAATCCAAAGCAGGCTGCAGGCTCAGAGCTAGCTGTCAGCACAGAGCCCAGCGCGGGGCTGGAACCCATGAACCATGAGATCATGGCCTGAGCTGAAGTCAGACACTCAACCGACTGAGCCACCCAGGCACCCCTGAGTTTGGTAAGTTCTTTATAGATTTTGGATACTAACCCTTTATCTAATATGCCATTTGCAAATATCTTCTTCCATTCCGCCAGTTGCCTTTTAGTCTTGTTGACTGTTTCTTCTGCTGTGCAGCAGCTTTTTATCTTGATGAGGTCCCAATAGTTCATTTTTGCTTTTATTTCCCTTACCTCCAGAGACATGTCAAGAAAGAAGTTGCTGTTGCCTGCTTTCTCCTGTAGGATTTTGATGGTTTTCTGTCTCACATTTATGTCTTTCATTCATTTTGAGTTTATTTTTGTGCATGGTATAAGAAAGTGGTCCAGGTTCATTCTTCTTCATGTTCCAGTTCTCCCAGCACCACTTGCTAAAGAGACTGTCTTTTTTCCATTGGAAATTCTTTCCTCCTTTCTCAAAGATTAGTTGGCCATATAGATTTGTGGGTCCATTTCTGGGTTCTCTATTCTGTTTCATTGACCTATGTGTCTGTTTTTGTGTCAATACCATACTGTCTTGATGGTTACAACTTTGAAATACAGGCTAAAGTCTGGGACTGTAATGCCTCTGGCTTTGGTTTTCTTTTTCAACATTACATTGGCTATTTGGGGTCTTTCATGGTTGCATACAAACTTTAGGATTGTTTGTTCTAGCTCTGTGAAGAATGCTGGTATTATTTTGATACAGATTGCATTGGATGTATAGATTGCTTTGGGTAGTACTGATATTTTAATAATATTTGTTCTTCCAATCCATGAGCATGGAATGTTTTTCCATTTCTTTGGGTCTTCTTCAATTTCTTTCCTAAGCTTTCTATAGTTTTCAGGGTACAGATCTTTTACCTCTTTAGTTAGGTTTACTTCTAGGTTTTTTTATGGGTTTTGGTGCAATTGTAAATGGAACAGATTCCTTGATATCTCTTTCTTTTGCTTCAATTATTGGTATATAGAAATGCAACCAATTTATGTATACTGATTTTATCTCCTATGAATTCATGTATCAGCTCTAGCAGTTTTTTGATGGAATCTTTTGGGTTTTCCATGTAGAGTATCATGTCATCTGCGAATAGTGAAAGTTTGACATCTTCTTTGCCAATTGATTTCACTCATGTGTGGAATTTGAGAAACTTAACAGATGAAAATAGGGGAAGGGAAGGAAAAATAAGATAAAAATAGAGAGGGAGGCAAACCATAAGAGACCCTTAAATACAGAGAACAAAATGAGGGTTGCTAGGGGGTGGATTAAATGGTGGATGGGTATTAAGGTGGGCACTTCTCAGGATGAGCACTGGGTATCATATGTAAGAGATGAGTCACTGGGTTCTATTCCTGAAGCCAAGGCTACACTATATGTTAAATAACTTGAGGGGAAAAAAATAAAATAAAATGAAATATTAATTAGCCAAAGAGGACTTTAACAGTCACCACCTCTTCATCTTCACAAAAACTGTAAAATCTGTGTTTGTATCCTCATTACACTGACAAGGATACTGAGGCTCAGAAAGGTTAAGTAGCTTGCCTGAAGTCACACCTCTGAGTGGCAGCTGCAGCATTAAACTACAGAGCTTCTACCTCCATGATTCTTTTTCTTTGAATAACATCATTCTGCCTTAGAATCTTACTTTAAGACAAGTGCTCTTCTTCACTGAGCTAGAAGAAAGCAGATGGTTCCTTCTGCCTGGAACATTCTTGTCTTACACCTCCACTTGTCAAATATACCTACTCAAATGACATCTCTTCTGTGAATCTGCTTTGGCCAAGCCAGCTGAAGGGTTCCCTCCTCTCCTGGGCTTATTACTTGTGAAACAAATCCTGCATGGGTTATAATCACATGTGATTATGTGACCTGTGACCTCCATGAAGGAAGATATCAGGGCAAAGACCTCCAGTGTCCTTACATCGTAGATTTTTAAGACAGGCCTTACCTCAAATATTCTGCTGTGCTGCCCCTCTTAAGCCACTGAAATGCCTAAGAAATGGCAATGTTTCCACGCACACCTCTTAGACTTTTCTAGTGCCAGATATTTACATGGGGCTTTTTTGTGCCGTGGACCCTTCAATGATCTGGTGAAGACTTCACAGAATGTTTTAAATATATAAAATAAAATACAGCAGCATTACAGTTAAAAATTACCTTTTAAAATCCAAATTGTGGTATAGCAACATATATGCATCTTTATTAAGACACTGAATAACCAGATCTAGCAGCAGATCTAATTACTATCATAATTTCAAAGATGTGAGGAATATAAATTAGTTTTCAAGAAACCTCCAACAACCTGAACGTATAATATTGGTGATTTCTTTTGGTAAAATAGTCACAAGAATAGCTAATACTGTAGTGGTTCATTATATACATCCATGATTGAAGGAAATGATACATTTTAGTTAGAGATTAATAAAAACATATATCAATTTTTTCCCATCCAGGTGCACAGACCCTTACCCTAGTTCCTATCTGGTCATAGTGCAATCACCTGTGATCCATGGTGCCTTTTAGGACTTGGATTTGAGTCTCAGCTCTACCCCCTAATACATGGGTGACAGAACATGAGTCATTCTTATTATCTGAGCCTATTTCTCCACTGAAAAAGGAAAGAATTGGACCAGATCCTTTCTGAGGTTCCTACCAGAACCTCAACAGATTCAGTGGCTCCTTAATTCTGGTAGACTCTCAGTAAATGGAGATCATTTGTGCCACGAGAGTAACAAGGAGCACTAAGGTGAAATGACAGCACTGAACTGACAAACATGGCTGAAATGCCATGGAGACGCCCGGAGACCTGCCATGGCCTCGTCAGGAAGGCTCTTCCTGCCCAGCCCCGCCCAGATGCCAAGGGGTGTACCCCTTACTAACCGTTCAAAGCGCATGACTTTGGCCAGGAGCAGCTGGAGGGGCTCTGAATAGTTGCGGTAGCTGTTCAGAACCTGCAGGACGTTACAGAGGGCCTGGATCTCAGGCTCTGTCCTCCAGGAAGGCAGCTTCTGTGTGATCTGAATGGCTTTTGGAGGGAAGTGACGCTGGGGAGAGAGGGCCAGAGTGACACACAAGACCTAGCAGAATCCCCCAGGGCCCAGAGGGCAACTCCCCACACTCCTGCTTTTATGCTTTCCCACCCCTCATACAATAGTGGCTGACATGTAATGAGTACTTACTGTGTGCCCAGCATCGGGGTACGAACCTTACATGCACCAACCATCTCACTGCATCTTTGCCCAGCCCAAGAAATGAGGCACAATTACTATTCCCATTTGACAGATGAAAACACTCGGGCAGGATTATAACCTCGATCTGCCACATGCTCATGCCTGTATCCCCAACTCCTGACCATACTGCCTGTGCCGTTCACTGATCACTCTGAGTCAATATGGGGCTCTCTGGGCTCCAGGAGCCCCCAGCATAAGCACGTGGCAATCAGAGGAAACCTCCCTTGCCTTAGCCTATATCCTAGCACGCTACAGAAGACTAAAGAATAAAGAGAACCTACAGAAACCAACCCTGGTGAACCAGGACTCACGGACCAGGGGATGGACAGATCTAACCATTCATCCACCACTCCCTGCTGCTGGGAAAGTGGTACTTGAGTTAACACCCCTTTTGGCTGCCCATCGCACTTAGGATAAAATCTTAACTCTGTAACCAGCCGAGGGGCCCCACATGGTCTGACTCCCTACTCCTTCTTCTCCTCACAAGCTCACCTCCTGCCTCTCTCCTGCATTCTCCAGTCTCTAGCTTTCTACCCATCTCCTGCAGGTGCCAAGCTCACTTCTGTCCTGTGGTCTTTGTTTGGGCTGTTTCCTCTGTCTGGAATGTCCTCCCCCTGGATTTTCACATGGATATGTGCCTCCTCCTTCTTATTCAGTTCTCAGCTTCTATGTTATCACTTCCTCACGGAGTCCCTAATGGAGCATTTGACCTAAAATAGTAGGTCCCCTTCACAGCAGTCTGTAGTCTCTGAATAACTTTTTTCAAAGCAATTAATACTTTCTGAAATGGCCTTATTACTTTTTGTTAATGTGGTTATTATCTGTCATTTCCCCATCCTACACACACACACACTGACTCACTCACTCTATCCAAAATGGCACAATCCAATATGGCAGCCATTAGCCACATGTGTGGCTACTTAAATTTAAATTAAATTAGATAAAAAATAAGTTCCTCAGGGGCACCTGGGTGGCTCATTTGGTTAAGCTTCCAACTCTTGGTTTCAGCTCAGGTCATGATCTTGTGGTTTTAGTGAGTTCAAGCCCCATGTCAAGCTCTGTGCTGTTAGCTTGGAATTCTCTGTCTCCCTCTCTCTCTGCCTCTCCTCCACTCACACCATCTCTGTCTCTCTCAAAATAAATAAAACTTAAAAAAAAAAGTTCCTCAGTCACACTAGCCACAAGGGCTACCTGTGTCTGCTGGATACTATAATGGACAACATAGACAACTGAATGCTTCCATCATCTCAGAAAGTTCCATTAGATATACGTGTTCTAGAATACAAGCCCCAATATAAACAAAATAGTGACTTCATCTATCTTATTTACCCTACTCTAGAATAATGTCTCGCAGGTAGTAGGCATTCGACAAAATAAAAATTTATGGAAAGAATGAATGAATGCTGGCTAATCTTACATAAAAGTAGTTATCATAGAAGTCAAAAGAAAGTGAGACATGATGAGTTCGGGACCATAGATCTGAAGCCTCACATGTTCACACAGAAGGGCAGTGTTACTCAGTGATTAATAATGCACAGGCTCTGGTGCCAGGTACCTGGGTTTGAACCTTGGCCTGCTCCTTCCTAGCTGTGTGTCTTGGGACAAGTCACTTCTTCCTGAGTCTCAGTTTCCCTATCTGAGAACAGCAGAACCTGACTGTATAAATAGCAGAGCTAATACATGTAAAGGGCTTACAATTGGCCCAGCTTCCAGCAAGGACTATGGAAGTGTTGGCTATTTTTAAGGTCCGAATCCAACCTTCTTCCTTCCTAGCTCTCTCTTGCTATCAATAACCCAAAGGGATTTCTACAGGGTTCATTTATGACAAAACACAGATGTCTCTGCTTTCTATGAACAGGACTGATTCTCTGGGCCCATGAGGGGCCCTAATTCTTTTAGGAAATCACTCTTGCCACACCCAATCTTTAGAGGCTCCCTTCTCTAGATTCCTATAAAACTGATTCTGTTATTTAACTTGCCAGGTAAGTTTCCTCACCTTAATTCCTACTTAGCTCCTTAAGGATGGGTGGGATGTTACATCGCCTAGTATCCCCACAACCAGACAGAGATCTAAGCTTAGACCTAAAAAAAAAAAAAAAAAAAAAAAGTCTGGGGAAAAGGGAGTATAATTCAAACAGGGCCAGGGAGAATTGGCTCCTGCCTGCTTCTTGGGGCTCACAGCCTCCCTCACCTCAGGCCAGCTACACCTCATTGTGTTCCGCTAGCATCCAGAAAGGATTAAGGGGAAAAAAAGGACTGCCCATAATCTCACCACCCAGATTTAGCCATTAACATCCAGCATACTCATTTCTGGTCTTTTTCTTATGTATAAATAAAATTTTTGAAAATAACACAACTAGTTTTCCATTAAAAATCAGAACAATAGGGGCACCTGGGTGGCTCAGTCAGTTGGGCGTCTGACTTCAGCTCAGGTCATGATTTCGTGGTTCGTGGGTTCGAGCCCCATGTCGGGCTCTGTGCTGACAGCCAGCTCAGAGCCTGGAGCCTGTCTTCAGATTCTGTGTCTCCCTCTCTCTCTGACCCTCACCTGCTCATGCTGTCTCTCTCTCTCTCTCAGAAATAAATAAAATATTTAAAAAAATTTTTAAATAAAATAAAAATCAGAACAATACAGATGCTTACAGTCTCCTTGTACCATAACACTTTCAATCCAGATCTGCTCTCCACCACCAGGGCTTGCCGTTATTATGTATAAATATATACTTATGCATATACATACAGCCACAGTATGGAGGGTTGCTTTATTTTTTATTCACATAAATGTCAGACTTCAGATATGGTTTATGCAACTTCCTTTTCCCCCTGACTCAATTTTTTTCACTATGTCTTTGAAATGTACCCATTGTTTCCAATGTCTCACAACTGTTATAATAAAAAGTCCATGATTCTAAGGCTCTATGAGTTATGTAACCATCACCACAATTGATTTCAGAACAAGTTCATCACTCCATAAAGAAAACAGGTGCTCATTAGCAGTCAGTCACCCAAAGGGCAGGTTTATTTATCAGAGCCAGAGTTAGACACAACTCCTAGAGGAAGCTGAGAGGCCCTGCCTATACAATGGATGTTTTCTTTTATGCCCTCTTTTCTCTCTCTACTGCCCTGCACAGAACTGCCTCCAACTCTGGAGTTCTGTGGCTCTCAGAGTTTCTCCTGCCTCAAGAGTAAAGCTTGGGTAACTGTCAGTGCCCAGTGTCAGACACTGGCCAGTCTGGAAAGTAGGAAAAAAACAAACAAATCCAGAATTTGGTTGTCTTAACATGATGGGGTATGAGAAAATAGTTCATGCCCAGAAGAGGCAGGCAACAGAAGCCATACCCCGGCTCCAAGGAGGGAGAGGGGGACAGAGTGGCCCAGGTGGTCCCGATACCAGTTACAAAGCTATTCTCCCCCAATCCCTGAAAGAAAAACCAACATGGCTACTCCAGGCAAGGGTCAAGTCAGGTCTCCACTGGTAAGAACTTCAAATCTTTCCTATAAATAGGTAGGCTCCTTTAGAATTTAAATTAAATTTTAAATTTTAATTTAATATCCAAAATTTGGTGGGAAGAAACTGGGAAGATAATGATTCTTGAAATTCAGAGAACAAGTCACACATCCAAAGCCCTACCCAGGTATGAGCCATTCCCTCCCTAGAATGGCCATCTGACACCCATGTGGGAGACAGGTGTACCTAGTTTCTCTCAGAAAACTTGAAGAGTCAGAATTCACACATAAGCCTGGGCTTTTCCCACCACTCTGCTTATTTCTCCTCTGCTTGGAGCTCTCACAGCCTCTGCTTTGCCTTTGGCTGTTTGTCCACAGGTCCAAGTGCCGGAGATCTTCCCTGTTGGTTCTGCTCAGCTATAAGTTGACAACACATTCAGTGGGGCTCACAGCCTCAGAAAGTCACCACTGGAATCTTGGGATACTGAGATCAGCTATTTTATAGGCGAGGAAACTAAGAGACTAGCTCACTAAGAGACACGCTGGCTTAGTGGCAGAACCTGGACTGAACCCAGCTGTTCTGATACCCAGGTCGATGCTTCTTCCAGGCCATGATGCAGAAAGAAAATTCTGAGCAGCAAGGTCAGAGTTATGCATACCTCCTCTGCAACGAAGTCCATGGTATCAAATGTGATTCGGCCTTGCTTCCTTTTCTGGGGGGTGGGGGGTGGGGTGGGGAGAAAACAGGAAAGAGGGAGAAGAAAGCGAGTCAGCAAGAGTGCTCCTAGAATTTTGCACGGAAACCCTCCTGCGTCCCCATCCCCATGGTGGTCAGGAAGCCATGGGAACCCTCCTACCAGCTGGCTCTCTCATGTCTACCTCAAAAGCCCAAACTCAGCCCCAGACTCAGGCCCAGCATTGACAATGTGTCATGGTAAAGATGGGGTGAGGGAGGATAAAGACAGGAAGGATGGAAAGAGAAAAGGAAGAGGGGAAAGAAGCAAATGGGAAAGTAGAGAGGGACAAAAAGGGATTAAAAAGGAGGCATCAATTAAGCCAATCTTCGCCAACTGCCTATAAGGAGCCAGGCATATTCCATCTCCTTATTTATTTATTCCATTTCATCATGAGGACAAAGCATGTATTACTGAGCCCCCATTTTGGACTCGAGGTTGATGAAGGAACCTTCCCAAGGATCACACACTGAGTAAACCATCTTCTAGAGTATGGCCAGGAGGAGGAGGCATAAGAGATCTTAGAGTTGGAGCCAATCCAACTCTATCTCCTAACATATGCAGGGGGGCTGTGGAAAAGTAGAGGATGCAGCAGAGAGAAGGGGAAGGATATGTAAGAGCAGGTAGGGAGAAGGAAAGGGACAAACAAGGCCCTGACCTCACCTGAGCCAAACCAGGACCCCCCTCCCTCATCTGTCTAGGCATACCTCAGGTCCTCCCCATCCAACAGCCCCATATATAACTTGTGTACCTGCATGGTGCTTTTCAAGAAGGTCAGTGAAAGAAAGCAGTAGTACTCATAAATATCTGGATTCATGTGCTCTGATGAAAACTGGTCTCTCTACTCAACCCTATACTCCGGTCCCCCAGCTCTCTGCCCATTGGCCATATGACCCCCATAGACTTCCCTTGAGAGGCTTCTGCTCTGCTCAAGGCCACCCTGCCCAGGCAATGTTGTTGGGCTTCACCCTCCCCCAAAGACAAGGCTGATTGGGGTCTTCAACTTCTAAATGCCTAGGCATCAGCTCATGTCTTCTGGTAATCAAAGACTCCTGGTCCCCAGGGACCATCACTTTACCACTGCATGATGACACCTTGAGTCAGAATGTCCTTCCTGACAACAAACCTCAGTCTCTCAGGTTCCAATTCTTCCACTCCATCCCCTCTCAACTTATAGCCCAACCAAAGGGCAGAATCTAGCTGCAGACTCATTTTGGTTTGGGCAGAATAATGTCTTTAAAATATATGAATTTAAGGGGTGCCTCGGTGGCTCAGTCAGTTGAGCTTCCAACTTTGGCTCAGGTTGTGATCTCACAGTTGGTGGGTATGAGTCCCATGGGCTCTGTGCTGACAGCTCAGAGCCTGAAGCTGTCTCAGATTCTGCATCTCCCTCTCTCTCTGCCCTTTCCTGCCCCCACCTCTCAAAAATAAATAAATATTTTAGAAGTTTTTTAATATATGAATTTGAATATCTTTAGATAGAGCATGCTCTTCCTTTCTGTAGACCCAGAGGCCTCAACTCCCTGCTACATCTTTTTTTTCATGTTTATTTATTTTTGAGAGAGACAGAGCATGAGTTGGGGAGAGGCAGAGAAAGAAGGAGACACAGAATCCAAAGCAGGCTCCAAGCTCTGAGCTGTTGGCACAGAGCCCAATGCAGGACTCAAACTCATGAACAGTGAGATCACGACCTTAACAGAAGTTGGCTGCTCAACCAACTGAGCTACCCAGGTGCCCCAACTCCCTGCTACATCTTAAACTCAGCCCCACATGCCTGCTGGCCCCTTAGAGACCAATCTAAGACTGCCTTTCTTTCGCCCATCAGCACTGCCCATACCCCTCTCCTTCAGAAACCATTTGGGGCAATTTCTTAGACTGAATCACTGGGTATAGTTGGGAAGCAGGGCTGAATTTAATCACTCCAAGCACAAAAGGAAAATGAGCAGGGTTCCTCCAGGGACTGGGAGGAAGCTTTGGAGTCCTGGATGGTAATGAGGACACCTTTGGGGCTCCATAACAGGTTAAGAGAAGGTGATCAACTTTTCTGAGCTAAAAAGGGCACATGAGCTATCACTGGCATAAACTGGGACCTTCTAGAAAATTTAAACAGTATGGTCTCCAGAGTGAGCAGGGCCATGCACATGTTCCCTTGCTTAAATGGGGAGACAGGAAAGAAGGTAGAGAAGATGAACAATGGTGGGCATTCAGAAAACCCGAACTCTAATAAGACTTCTGGACTTCTCTGGCTCCTTTGATTCCCATTGAAATGGAGACAGCTTCTTCTCAACTCCTGGTGTTTTTTTCCACATGGAGGGAGTTGCAATGGTAGAACACTACTGGCCCCTCTCCTTGCACTTTGATAAGGAGCAAGTTAAACTCCTTGATGAGTTTTGGAAGGAAAAACTGGGTGTGATCATTCCTTCTCAGTCCCTCTGAGCCCACACTCTGCTCTACCCTTCTCTGCTGTGAATTTAGGGCAGGAGGCCTTGGTCTTGCAGTGGAGAACTGCCTTGGTCCAGCACTGTCCCCGACTGGGCATATAAGGCCATCTAATTCTGGGTTGTAGTACTAGGTCATCCCTTCACTTGATGATATGTCACTTCTCCAATGTAAGTCCCATCGTTAGCAAAAGTGACAGTTGGGTCTCCCATCTGCTTTACCCTTGTCTTCTGTTGGTTCAGAATATGGACTAGGAAGTGGGGTGCTATTTACTGGACCCCACCTAAGCCCTCATAATCCTCCTAAGGCCAGATGCTTACATCCCAGAAGGAAAAGACAGGGTGCTTTCTGTGAGGAGTCTCAATGATCTGATATTCCCGAAATCCCCCGAGTCCTTGGCGGAACATTTTACACACTCGGATCATCACAATGATATCCATGGTGAGCTGGTACAGCCCCTGTGGAAACAAAACAAACAAGATCAATAGGAACCATCAGTTTTTAGCAGCCACAGCACACTGTACAGTGCTGACAAGGTGAGACAGGAGAGGATTACAATGCAATGGTGTGCCAGAGCCATGGTTGCATTTTCAGAGTTTTCAAGCCTGTCAAATCATGTTGGTAGCCCAAAAATGGCCACAGCAGGGAGTATTTATGCCACAGAAACAGGAAACTACTACAAATGGGGGTAGCTCCCCACGAAGAGCTGGTCGGTAAAATATTCACCAACTCAGCTCTAGTTAAATATCTAGGCCTTCATTTTGGTCCAAAAAACAGCACAAGTAACAGTAGGTGGCGGTGATGCAAAGAGCCTGTATTCCTCAATTAGATGGATCTGAGAGAAGAACAGTTAAGCAGATGCAACATTGCTGGCTTTGAAGACAGAGGAAGGGGGCTGTGTGAGCCAAGGGATGTGAGTGGACTCTAGAAGCTAGAAAGTCCAGGAAACGCATTCTTTCCTAGACCCTCAAGAAAGGAAGGCGTCCCTCCTGATACCTGGATTTTAGCCCAGGGAGACCCATGCCAGCCTTCTAGCTGACTTAATATAATCTGTTTTAAGCCACTAAACTGTGTAATCTTTTTTTTTTAAGTTTATTTATTTTGAAAAAGACAGAGACAGCACAAGTGGGGGAGGGGCAGAGACAGAGGGAAAGAGAGAGAATCTAAGCAGGCTTTGTGCTACTGGTGCAAAGCCCAACGCAGGGTTCAAACTTGTGAAACCACAAGATCATGATGTGAGCCAAAACCAAGAGTAGGACACTTAACTGACCGAGCCACCCAGATGCCCCTAAATTGTGTAAAATGTTAGTTAACAGAAGCAATAGAAAACTAATATAATCACTCATCCAAGCTGGGCCATCTGATTCCAGGCATTCCTTGATTCTGGGAATTTGGAATTGGAACTGAGAACAAATCAGACTCTCTATCCCAGCATGAAGTTGGGAGTAAGGGCAGTCTTAGCCTTAGCCTCTGCCTGCTAAGTAAATACAGGGGATAGGGAAACAAGTTCAACACCACAGAAACAAATTCAGGATGTAAAGCAGTCTACAAGTCAACTAACCCAGTTTCTTTTTTTGTTGTTAATTTTTTAAAATGTTTATTTCTTTTTGAGAGACTGCGAGAGGCAGAGTGTGAGTAGGGGAGGGGCAGAGAGAGACAGACAGACAGAATCCAAAGCAGGCTCCAGGTTCTGAGCTGTCAGCATAGAGCTTGATGCAGCGCTCGAACCCACAAACCGCAATTTCATGACCTGACCTGAAGTTGGATGCTTAACCAACTGAGCCACCCAGGCACCCCTCAACTAACCCAGTTTCTTAAAAGACATACAAATAAACGTAAAGTATGAACTTTGATTGGATTCTGATTCATAGTAACAAGCTGTAAAAGCCATTATTTAGGGACAAATAAAGAAACTGACTATGACTAGAGATTAGATGACATTAGGGAATTAGTGTTAATTTTCTTAATATTATAGTAACATTGTAATTATGTCTTTATTTTTATGAAGTGTCATAAAAATGCCTCTTCCTCTCAAACAATTCAGCAAACACACACCTGTGCACAAGCACACACACAAGTATGTACAGTCAATGTGGCTTAGGTCTAAGGGGTGATCATTACATATACTGCAACTTCTGTGTTTGCAAATTTCCATAATTAAACAAATTCAAAAGCTAAAAACTTTTATTAACTTTTGTTAATAAGGATATCATAAATAAAATGAAAAGACAAACTGAAGACTGGAAGAATATATTGGCCATGCACGTAACCAACAAAGGATTACTATAGAAAATTACAAAGAATAACTATTACAAAAAAATTACTATCCCAAACTGTTTTTTAATTTTAAAAAATTCTATAAATCAAAGGAAAAATACAAATAACCCAAAAGAAAAATGAACAAAGGATATGAATAGGCAATTCAAAGGGAAAACTCAAATTACCTATAAATAATGAAGAGAGGGGACACCCAGGTATGCCTAGGTGGCTCAGTTGGTTAAGCATCTGACTTCAGTTCAGGTCATGATCTCGCTACTCGTGGGTTCGAGCCCTGCATCAGGCTCTGTGCTGACAGCTTGGAGCCTGGAGCCTGCTTCAGCTTTTGTGTCTCCCCCTCTCTCTCCTCCTCCCCCACTCATGCTCTCTCTCTCTCAAAAATAAATGACATTTTAAAAAGTTTTAAGGAAAGAGGGGCATCTAGCAGGCTCAGTTGGAGGAGCATGCTACTCTTCATTTTGGGCTGGTGAGTTTGAGCCCCAGGTTGGGTGTGGAGATTACTTAAATAAAAATAAAACAGAAGAAGAAAAGAAGAGGAAGAAGAAGAAGAAGAAGAAGAAGAAGAAGAAGAAGGAGAAGGAGAAGGAGAAGGAGAAGGAGAAGGAGAAGGAGAAGGAGAAGGAGAAGGAGAAGGAGAAGGAGAAGGAGAAGGAGAAGGAGAAGAAGAAGAAGAAGAAGAAGAAGAAGAAGAGAAGAAGAAGAAGAAGAAGAAGAAGAAGAAGAAGAAGAAGAAGAAGGAGGAGGAGGAGGAGGAGGAGGAGGAGGAGGAGGAGGAGGAGGAGGAGGAAGAAGAAGAAGAAGAAGAAGAAGAAGAAGAAGAAGAAGAAGAAGAAGAAGAAGAAGAAGAAGAAGAAGAAGAAGAAGAAGAAGAAGAAGAGGAAGCAGCAGCAGCAGCAGCAGCAGCAGAAGAAGAAGAAGGAAGGAGGGAGGGAGGGAGGAAGAAACAGGTGCCTGGATGGCTCAGTCGGTTAAGCATCCGACTCTTGATTTTGGCTCAGGTCATGATCTCACGGTTCATGAGACTGAACCCCACAATGGGCTCCATGCTCACAGTGTAGAGCCTGCTTGGGATTCTCTCTCCCTCTCTCTGCCCCTCACACACTTGCTCTCTCTCTCTCTAAAAATAAATAAACTTTAAAATATATATATTGAATGAAGGAGGGAGGGAGGGAGAAAAAGAGAAAAAAGAAAAAGGAAGGAAGGGAAGGAAAGGAAAGGGGGCCTGGGTGATTCAGTGGGTTAAGCATCTGACTTCAGCTTAGGTCATGATCTCACGATTCGTAAGTTCAAACCCCACATTGGGCTCTATGCTTATGGCACAGAGCCTGCTTGGGATTTTGTGTCTCCTTCTCTCCCTGCCTCCACCTCAAAATAAATAAACTTAAAATTTGTTTTGGAAGGAAGGAAGGAAGGAAGGAAGGAAGGAAGGAAGGAAAGAAGGAAGGAAGGAAGGAAGGAAGGAAGGAAGGAAGGAAGGAAGGAAGGAAGGAAGGAAGGAAGGAAGGAAGGAAAGATTCTTGGGACACCCAACTGGCTCAGTCAGTAGAGCGTGCAAATCTTGATCTCAGGGTTGTGAGTTTGAACCCTATGTTGGGTGTAGAGATTACCTAAAAATAAAACCTTAGGGGCACCTGGGTGGCTCAGTTGGTTAAGCAGCTGACTTCAGCTCAGGTCATGATCTCACAGTTTGTGGGTTTGAGCCCCGTATCAGGCTCTGTGCTGACAGCTCAGAGCCTGGAGCCTGCTTTGGATTCTGTGTCTCCCTCTCTCTGACGCTCCTCGCCCACACTCTGTGTGTCTCTCTCTCAAAAATAAATAAACATTAAAATTTTTTTAATAAAATAAAAAATTTTTAAAAATCCTTAAATTAACAAAAAGAAAGAGGGGGGGAAGGAACAAAGGGGTGAGGGGAGGAGAGGGAAGGAAACATTACTAAAGATAATGGAAATGTAAGTTAAAGTGACAACAAGATATCATTTTATGCTTATCAGATTTGGGGAAGGGAAGACATTTCCCATGGGAAAAGCTGAAAACAACTGAATGTAATAACACATTACAGGACAGTCAGAGGAGTGAACAGAGCACTAGAGTTGTATATGTGTATGTCTATGTGGGTAAAGCTCACACAAAATTTTAAGTGGAAAAAAGGTTGAAAAATGATGCCATTTTTGATCCCATTTTTTAAAATGTGCTACATGCTATGTTGCTTATAAATACATACATATGTAATAAAATTTTTAAATCTAGATAGGAAGGGTACACATCAACCTCAGGAAAGTGGTCACCAGTGAGGAGGAACGGAATGGGATGGTAATGAGGTTCCCTTGTAACTGTAATATTTTCTTTGAAAAATATACATCTGAAAGAAATATGGAGAAAGTCTTTATTAATAAAATTAATATTCATCAAAAACCGATTTTCCATTGTCAGGCACTATTCTAAGCCCTCTATATGTATCGGCTCATTTAGCCCTCAACAATAAATCAATGCAGTAGATACTATCATCACCCCTTATGGAGACAAAAATAATCACAGCAAATCAAGTAACTTGCCCAATACTAATATTAGTCATAGGACTAACAGGAGAGAGGGATTTGAACCCAGGCAGTCTGGCTCCAGGGTCCATAAATTTAACCTATCACTCTGTCCTGCTGCCAGACCTTATTCTTTCTGGATCTCATAACAGCAAGAAAGGTAGGTATAGAACAGTTCTTGGGGCTCAGAGGGTAAGCCCACTGTCAAGGGGATAGTAGTCTTCAGGGAAGGGGTTAGGATTCAGTCTTTCTGAAGCCTAACCTGGAACTTTACCCTTTGTGCCATGCTGTGACTCCAAAGGTATAAGGAGGACCCCTCCTACACCTGCCTCTCCCTTCCTCAAAATACCTGTCTGTGCAACCTTCCACTCTTCCTTCCCAGAACCCTTGACACTCCTCACCAGTTCTTTCTTCAGGATCTGCCATGAATAAGACACTCTGTGTTTCCTCATGGTTCCTGAGCTGGCAAATGGCACAACTAGCCACTTTGCGTTTTAAGGATAGGACCACAAATCCTTCCCAAGAATCCACTTATATTAGAAATAGCTTCCTGCAGTGGCAAGGTAGGAGCTCCTCTCCACTCCTCATATGCTACCAACAGCTTCTGGAAGCCGTGAGTTCTGAGAAATCTCATTCTCAGAATCTCCTTATATCACAATGGAGGGTTCTGGAAGAGAAGGCAGTGGGAAGGAATTGGAATCCGAGAGTCTAATATTTATTTAACACCAATAGGCATTATCTTATTTATCCTCACAACAACCAAAAGGTGAGGGGCCTCCTACCCACTCCCTACATAATACTGAGGCTCCAAGAAGCTAACTGATTGCCAATCATGGGGCCATCTTAAAGAAAATAGGAGGCTTCAGGGCTGGGAGCAAGAGCACCCAACACCTCAGCCTAGGGGGCACTCCAAGGCTTAGAACTTGGGAGACCCTGAAGTGTGGGTGCATGGTGCTGTCCTACAAATCTTGTTAAATCAGCAAATCAGAACACTCAGAAAATCAGAAGTCCTCCAGGGCACTTGGGTGGCTCAGTCGGTTAAGCGTCCAACTTCAGGTCAGGTCATGATCTCATGGTTGGTGAGTTTGAGCCCCACATCAGGCTCTGTGCTGACAGCTCAGAGCCTGGAGCCTGCTTCCGATTCTGTGTGTGTGTGTATGTCTCTCTCTCTGCCCCTCCCCCACTTATTCTCTCTCTCTCTCCTCTCTCTCTCTCTCTCTTTCAAAAATAAACAAACATTAGAAAGAAAAAAGAAAAGAAAATCAGAAGTCCTCAGCTAAATGGGGTTGAAACGTTGAAAGGAATTTGGTGGCTAAAACTCAATGACTCCGAGGTCCTTCCAAAAGTAGAGGAGAATATAGGACCTAAAGTACGGCAGTCTACTAGGTTAAAGATGGCAGTTGATTATCCCAATTTCCTTTGTATGAGAATCTTCAATAAAAAACGACGACTTTGGGGTGCCCAGGTGGCTCAGTCACTTAAGTGTCTGACTCTTGATTTCAGCTCAGGTCATGATCTCGTGGTTCATGGGTTCAAGCCCAGCATCGAGCTTCATACTGATAGCATAGACTCTGCTTGGGATTCTCTCTATCCTTCTCTCTATCTGCCCCTCCCCTGTTCTCTCTGTCTCAACAAATACATAAACTTTTTTTTTTTAATGTTTATTTATTTTCAAGATACAGAAGAGACAGAGCATGAGCTGGGGAGGGGCAGAGAGAGAGAGAGAGAGAGAGACAGAATCTGAAGCAGGCTCCAGGGTCTGAGCTAGCTGTCAGCACAGAGCCCGATACGGGGCTTGAACCCACAAACCGTGTGATCATGACCTGAGCCAAAGTCAGACGCTCAACCAATGAGCCACCCAAGTGCCCCAATAAATACATAAAATTGAAACAAAACAATGACTTAAGTACTGCCTGATTTGCCATTCCTATCCAGCTACACCTATCTGCCAACCCTCTCCCCACTGAGAGCCAAACAGAAGGACACAACACGGTGAAGACAGTCTGATGGCAAATAAGACCCAAGCTCTGAATTACTCAATTCAAAGGCCACCACTCCTAGGGGGAGACACTAACCAGTTACAAAGATGAGAAGAGATCGAATTCGTTTTTTTCCCCCTTACCGGGAGAAAAGATGCAAAGTACTCAGGGAGAAACAGAGTAAGTGAAGTCAGAGAATAAGAGAAAAGAGCAGTGTGGGCTTTTGCCTTCCCTACTACAGACCTGGTCTTAAGGAAGGAAATACAAAAGTTTAGGGTGTTTCTCAAACAAACTACTGGGGATGGGGAAGGTAAGGGATATGGACAGGACAGACTCATGAGGGGGCATCTGAGGATGCTGGAAAGCAGGAGCAAGAACCTTATGAGACTCTGAAAGTAGACACTCCCTACCTCACCACTTGCCAGTGGTAGTTGTACAATTTCCCTGGGAATTGGATCAGTATTGGGGAGAAAGAGGCAGGGAGTCTGGAGAACTCTGAACTGGCCTAAGATGAGTCAAGTAGCCTGAAATTACATCCCCTCAAAATTATTGGATTGGATCTCAATTTATCTGAAGACATCTAAATTAAGTTGTCTATGAGGAGGCAGGCTGGGGACTCAGAGTCAGACATTAAAGTCAGTTCTAGAAATTTAAAAAGTATCATTTTTGTCCAAGTTTCTAATCTTATAATTGAACTGTTATAAAATAGAATGTCAGAAAGGGCATTCTAATGTGATCTTGGGTAAATCACTTAACCACATTGGGCCTCACTTTCCTCCTTTTATTAAAAAATTTTTTTTAATTTATTTATTTTGAGAGAGAGAGAACACATGCAAGTGAGGTAGGGGCAGAGAGGGAGGGGAGAGAGACTCCCAAGCAGGCTCTGTACTGTCAGCACAGAGCCTGATCTGGGGCTTGAACTCAAACCTGAGCCAAAACCAAGAGTCAGGCACTTGACCAACTGAGCCACCCAGGTGCCCCATCCTCCTTTTAAAACTAAATTAGAGGGGGCCCCTGGGTGGCTCAGTCAGTTAAGGGTCCAACTTTGGCTCAGGTCATGATCTCACAGCTCGTGAGTTCAAGCCCCACATCAGGTTCTGTTTTGACAGCTCAGAGCCTGGAGCCTGCTTTGGATTATGTGTCTCTGTCTCTCTCTTCCCCTCTCCCACTTGCACTCTGTCTCTCTCTCTCAAAAATAAGTAAACATTTAAAAAAATTTTTTTACTGAGTTAGAGTCAGTTCTACAAATAATTTCATTTCAAGATCCTTGTTTTGCTAATTATAAGTTATGCAACAAACATTTACAGAGCTCCAACTATATACAAAACCTGAAAAGGTGAATAAGACACAGTCTCTGTTCACAGGAGTTCATAATATGCTGGGGATGGAAACCACAGCCATAGGAGAAAGTCGGACTGAAATAAAGCTATAAAGATAAATGTAGAAAGTGCAGGGCCTGATCAAGAAGCATGAGAAGTAGCTGGAATGTGAGATGCTGCAGAGTCCTGGCAAGAAGCGAGGTTGGGCAGGCAGAGGTCACAAACCAGCCACCCACGGGCTAAATTGATCTTGCTTTATTTGACCCACATGGTGTTCTGGTTAAAATATTCTTAAAACTTAACTTGGTTATCTATAGTTGGGGAATTGGCTCTCTAATTCACCAAAGTCCTCACCTCACAAAATCGTGTTACTGCCAGGCACATTACCTACTTGCAACCTCCAGCATAGGATCTATACAGCCTCTTTAGGCCTAAAATCCTTTGACTATATAATCAGTGGTTGCAAAATTGTGGTCCACAGGTCATATCTAGCCTGCTGGCTTGTTTTGATAGTTTTGAAATTTTTAGATTAGTTTGGGTGCCTGGCTGGCTCAGTTGGTAGAACATGCAACTCTTGATCTCCAGGTCAAGAGTTCAAGCCCATGCTGGGTATAGATGTTTCTAAAAATAACATAATTCAGAAATGCAAAGATGCTCAATAGAGAATCTGCAATCAATGTGGTTAAAGAGAAAAATCTGATCTTCATACATTTAAAAACTTTTTTTGAAGGGGTGTCTGGCAGGCTCAGTCGGTAGAATCTACAACTCTTAATCTCAGGGTTGTGGGTTCGAGCCCCATGTTGGGTGTAGAAATTACTTAAAAATAAAAGAAAAATATTGTTTTTTTAAAAAAGAAAGAATTTGAGGGTGTCTTTCTGGCTCAGTGGGAAAAGTATGTCACTCTTAATCTCAGGGTGGTGACTTCAAGCCCCACACTGGATGTAGAGATTACTTAAACAAGCAAACTTTAAAACAAATTTTTGTTTTAATTTTTGAGAGGGCCACATTAATGAACAAGTCACTCTTGTAGACAAGTGGGGCTCCACTGTGCCAGGACCTTAGTAACACTGCACAGAGCATGCCTCAGAGCTGTCCCATTGGTTAGGGGCTACCCCTGGCAGCATTCACTTGTTAGCTTTTGTGGACTGAACAACCCAGTGGCCAGAGAAAGCACTTGGCGAAGGTACTAAGAGTAGAAAGCTACCTTGGCCTGTGTAGAAATGGCAAGTTAAGGGATTAGAGCCAACAGAAAATGCCTTGGGCTGCAGGCCTCTGGGAAAGCTAGCAGAGTTCCAAATTCTCCCAAAAAGGTCAGAGCACTTGAAGACAGACCCAACAGCATCTTCTGTAGAACGCTGGATGGTGAGAGCTTCCCTGGTGCCACTGGCACCAAGGAGAAGCAGGGCCTGTGGGCTGACAGGGAATGGCACAGACGGGCCAATTCTGCAGCCCTGCAGCTGCCAAGCTCTATCTGCCGGAAGAGGAAGGAAATAAACCCATTCACTCACACAAAACCTTTGTCAGAAGGAGCTTTGCTAATGACCCTAAGACACTTCCTGCCAGCCTGGAATTCTACTTCAGTCCGTTCTCCATGCACACTTCCAACAAATAGCTGGTTCAGAAAAGAACTCACTTCATTTAAAGGGGATTTATAATTAAAATAAATAAATAAATAAATAGCACCAGACCTATATATTACAGAAAAATTGGAGGGAGGCAGGGAACAAGAAAAACAAATGGCAGATGAAAGGCACTAATCAGAAAAAAAAAAAAAAACTAATATGAAACAGCAAGAGTTCCAAGCAAGGTGCAAGGGTTCAGAGATGATGAAGCTACTGGAGGAGATGGCATTGGCAGAGCTCAGGAAAAAATTGTTTTTTAAAAAAACAAAACGAAACAAAAAACCCCACCTCAGAACTGAAGATAAGTTCAGAAACATCAAAAAAGGAAGCTAGCCTTGCTGAATGTAGAGGTCAGGATTGCAAAAAGCAAGTGAGGGAGTTGTCAATGAATAATTAAAAAAACCAAGAAATAACAGAACTAACAGGTATGGAGATAGAGAGAGAGACTGGGAGGGTTAAGTACGTGGGTTTCTTCAACTTTTATAGCTGTAAATCTCTATCTTTTAAGATTTTGTTTTAAGTAATCTCTACACCCCAATGTGACGCTCAAACCTACAACTTCGATATCAAGAGTCCACCGACTGGGCCAGCCAGGTGCCCCTATAGCTGTAAATCTTA